CATGAGAGTCTCTTAATCATTCTGATCACTTAATCATTATGTATTAAATCATTCAGCAACTGTCAAAAAGCCTCTAAATGTATAAAAGAGAGAAATAATATTTTATTCATATTATAATCTCCAAAAAGAGTGAATTATTGGAATTTCGCAGGACTTTTTCACATGGCGGATCCAGGGTTTTTTCGGTGTATGAACTCGGATAAAAGTTCTTGAAGATAACATGTTAGAATTGTAGATTATTTGCTAAGGCTTTTCAGTTGTACATTTAAGGAGAACTGATCGGAGGGGTAGATATACCTCTTCTACTCTATTTTAAGAGTTATTTTTATTTGCACTTCTTTTACACTATCTTTATTTGTAAGTATGGTCTGCATACATCTTACCTTCTAAAAGTCTTCCTAATTTTATTTAATATTAAATTTTTATAACATTACAAAAATCATTCAAATTTTTAATTCTCGTTGGGAAGAACGAAAAAGAAAAACCGTATACAAAACAATATACTGAATTCGATTCTTCTAATCTGTTTTAGCTTTTTATCTTCATTTTCAGTTATTATATTTCTTCAAACACCCTTAATTTCTCCGGTCGACTTCCTATTCATATCAACAGACAAACAATATGAATGAATTTATTTATGTAAATCTACTGTCTGTCTCTCTCTCTCTCTCTCTCTCTCTCTTTATTTCTATTATCAATACTGATTTCATCTTTCAGCCGAACGTCTTTAAAAGTCAGTAATAAATAAAAAAAGTGGACCCTAAATTTAGACAAGACATAAAATCCCAGGCTGTTGTCCCAACAAAATGACAACTTTTATTCATAAGGTATCACTCCATTTAATTTATATATATATATATATAATTTTAAAAAAATTTGTATTTATTGATATGATATGATATATGATGATTTGATATGATGCATTACACCCACACGTTTTCCTCTATTTCCCTTCATTCTCCTCCTCTGCTACTCCTGCTCCAATCCCTTTGTACCATCTTCATCCTTGCATTACATTTTTATTCTTTTTCTTTTTCTTTTAAATTTAAATCTTTAAAAAATATAATATTACTCGTTTAAAATAACATATACAAATTGTTAAATTATACGCTATTTCTCGTCACCTGTGTTGTACGTTTACAATAAACGACTGTCAGTTTAACATTTTTGGTATGTGACATTTTTAAGTATCAGAGTTTAAGATTGGCTAAGTTTTAACTATTTTTCTTATATATATATATATATGTGTGTTTGGAATATTCGTTCTTTCCTGAGGGTTTTTTAGAGTCATCTAATAGTGTTCTATGTAAGATCTCATATTTGTTGGGGAGGGGAACAAATGTTGCCTTATAAGGGACTTGATACTTTATCTATCAGACGTGTTTTAAAATAATGAGTTCAGGTATGTGGATAATATATGGTATGGTTGGTCTGGAAAATTGTATTTTACATATTTTTACATGGTACCAACATCAAAGTCTACTATTATAGGGAGTCCACGTCATGGAGCAATTTGTACTAGCCAAACCAACTCATTTGTCTAGCCCCTTTTCAAAACTGCAAGACAACTTGTACCCATCTAGCCTTTGTTAGAGGAAGCGTGTTAGAGTTTCCCATTGATTAGACTTGGACCATTTCTCCTACATATATGTTTGGACTTCTTTTTTTAATAGCTTTTTGGGAGAATAATCTAAATTGAGTTCCACATATTCTCACATTTTGAATCAGTACGAAAACATCGGTTTGTTATATATTCCACATGTTCCAAAAATAAGTGTCGTTTTCAAAAAATAAGCACTTGATTTTCAACTCTACCTTTATTATCAGACGGAGAAAGTCATTATCCTTTCTATTACGAAGGGTAAAATTGTCATTTAATTAATTAAAACGTGAATAATTACATACTATATGACTATTTCATTATCGGCATCTAAGTGATTGAAACTGAGTTTTAAATCGAAGAGGATGCTAGAGTCTCACATCAACTAGGAGTTGACCGTTTATCTCTCATATATGTTGGAACTTTCATTCTCTCTATAAGAACTTTTAGAGAGTAAACACGAGGTTCCACATATTCTCACATGATATCAAACCCAAGGTCCATCAGTCTAGGGACTCGACACTCAAGAGCAATCTATAGCCATCAAGCCTCATCTTAGCACTCTAAACAATTTGTACCCATCTACTCTCCATAGGAGGGAGCGTATTAAAATTCAACCTCGATTAGACTTTGACCATTTATCTACCAAGACGTGAACGAACATGACTGATAAAATGACCAATTTATCCTTAATAAGACATTTATATATTTTCATCAAGACGATTAAAATGACACCAAAAGATGAAGTTTATTAATTTCCAAATTTCATTTTATACCTTTTCTCTACTATTATTTTCTCTTTTTATTAATTAACTAAAATATAAAAATAATATTTTGAAATCAGTATCTTTTTTGTCAATGTTCAGTAAAACAAATAGAGCCTAAAAACGTTTTTGAAGAGTAAAAGATGGAAAATTAAGAGTAAGCGACGTCGCATGTGGGAAGCGAAAGGAGAGTTGTCCCATAAAAAAAAGAGGTAATAAAACAAATGGTTTTTGGGCCCTTGAGCACCGGAAGTGACTGCCTGCCTGCCTCCTCTCGGATTTATCTTTAAATACAACCACACTAATACTATCCTATCCACCTCCAACACATCATTATTGCTATTCTATTATATAATCAATCATTTCATCAAATCTTTTATTACAATAAATAACATATTTAATAAATTATATATATATATAGGGGTTGGTTTAAATGAAAATCGGTTTTCGGTTGTAAATCGAGGGACAAAGGAGAGTGTGTCACGTGTCTCGCACTTTTATGGGTTTATTCATCATGAATAGTGTATCATTCATGATGAATGTGTGTTATTCATCGTGAATAGTGAATCAATGTAAGAGCAATCTTATGATAATATATTTGACGGGACTTGGTGGTGTGCGAATGACATGTCATAGGACTAGGGTCGTGCCAAAGGTCGCTTGTGTATCTGATTTAGTATCATATGTGATGAGTTATAGTATCATGACCCATATCATATGTGATAATATATGTGAGGGGGGCTAGTTGTCTATGAGTTATAGTATCACATCAACAACATCCTTATCATATGTGATAATATATGTGAGGGGGGCTAGTTGTCTATGAGTTATAGTATCACATCAACAACATCCTTATCATATGTGATGAGTTATAGTATCATGACCCATATCATATGTGATAATATATGTGAGGGGGGCTAGTTGTCTATGAGTAATAGTATCACATCAACAACATCCTTATCATATATGGGTCGGTTGGTCGTATTGATCCAACAAATGCCTTTTTGTCTATTTTTATAAAAATAATCATATAAAATGTCATTATAAAAAATATTACTGAAATAATAATCGGTTATAAACATTTGATATGTTTTGGTTAACTTTGGTATATTTGTTGAAAGACTAAAAAGAGAAATATAACATAAATATATTAAAAATATTTATGCAGTTGTCAACAGTTAGTAAAGAGTCTCTGACTTACTTTAAGAGTTTAACATAATACGGATCAAAATCTTTCCTTCAACAAAACTGTTGTAATTTAAATTCAGTGATGTAAAATATAATCTTATAGAATCAATCTTGATGAAACTGATTTTCATTATACGGTATCCAATTATTTAATAAACAATAGTATGAGTTGAAATAATTGAAATGCATTGATGAATCCAAAAAGGTACACTTCCACATTTATATTCCTTTTTTGGTACTACCACTCTAATTTCATCCTTCCAAAAGAAAGTGTCAATTTTACCAAATTGGAATGCAAATACAAGAAGAGGATAGAAAAAACAATAGAATCAAGTAACTTAATAAGTACAAGCTATAAAGACAAACTCACATTTACTGTTTGAGTACAAAACCAAACTAAACTAGTTTCATGTATCCATTCATCAAATCAAAACAGCTCAATATATTCCATAAACAAAACAAAACCCAACCAAACAACTGAACAAGCCAAATACATCCCATCATCGAACCAAACCAACCAAGTGTATCCCATAACAATACAATCCAAACCAAACAACTGAACAAACCCGATATATCCCACTATCAAACCAAACCAACTCTATATATCTCATAACGATACAATACCCAACTAAACAAACCCACCATCAAACCTGAACAAGCCTGATATATCCCACCATCAAACCAAACCAACTCTATACATCTCACCATCAAACCTAACTTAGTATATCTCATAAACAATACAAAACCAAATTGAACCACCATCAAACTAAACCAACTCAGTATTTCCTATAACAGTACAATACCACACCAAACAATTGAACAAACCCGATCAAACCCAATACATCCCATCATCGAACCAAACCAACCAAGTGTATCCCATAACAATACAATCCGAACCAAACAACTGAACAAACTCAATATATCCTACTATCAAACCAAACCAACTCAGTATATCTCATAACGATACAATACCCAACTAAACAAACCCACCATCAAACCTGAACAAGCCTGATATATCCCACCATTAAACCAAACCAACTTTATACATCTCATCATCAAACCTAACTTAGTATATCTCATAAACAATACAAAACCAAATTGAACTACCATCAAACTAAACCAACTCAATATTTCCTATAACAGTACAATACCACACCAAACAATTGAACAAACCCGATCAAACCAAACCAACTTAGTATATCTCAAAACAATACAATACCAAACCGAAGAAATGAACAAACCTGATATACCCCACCATCAAATCAAACAAGCTTAGTACATAACATAGGAAGTACAAAACCAAACCAAAGCAAAAAAGTGTGATATATTCCACCATCAAACCAAACTAACTCGGTATATCCTATAAACGATACAAAACTAAACCAAACAACTAAACAAATTTAATATATCCCACCAAAAAACCAAACCAGTTCAGTATATCCCATAAATAGTACAAAACCAAACCAGCTTAGTATATTCCATCTAGAGGTAAAATCTACTAATTGAAACCAGCATTACTTAAATGTCACAAAGAGCATTCAGGAAATCAAGGGTTTATGATCATGTACACATTCATGGTCTTTACAAAGGGTGATGTAGAACAATCTATAACCAAAACTAGTTTCAACATTTCTACCCAAATGTATATAATAAGATAACATTTCTCTTAGGGGCGACCGGTGAGCCATGGCCTAAAAACGGGAACAGTTTCCATATGCCGCCAAAGTCCGCCAATAGCATAGCCGATATGATGTGGAAGAGAATGGTGGTGGTCTACTTATCACCACCGCCAAACATACCCATCATGTCTTTGCTAGAACCCATCTGCTTCATTAGATTTTGTAAGCCACCCATGCCACCGATTTGCTTCAGCATTTGTGGCGGAAGGACCTTACTCATGTGTTGTGCATTCATGTTTCTGGAAAGTGCGCTCATATCGCCCTTTTTGGGGATTTTAAGACCCTTCATTTTGCTCCAGATTTTGGCGAGACGTTTGTATTCTTCAAACATTTCGACGACTTCCCTCACTTGACGGCCAGCGCCTCTTGCTATTCGCATGATCCGGGAATCGTTCATGAGCTTCGGGTTGGTGCTATCCAGCTCTGCAAAAAACACAAGTGGATTTTGGTTCGAACTTCCACAGTGAAAACGATTCAAAGGTTCAACGGTTCAACCAACCTTCATTAGTCATTGAATCCATCATTGTCATGTAACGTTTGATCTTTGCCTGGCTTTCCTTTTCACGGCCTTTAGGCATCAACTCGGAACTAAATCCTGGAAGCATCGAGAAAACCTACATGATATAAGCAAGCGGATTAACATGTAGCTGCAGAACAATGTTCAAAGATGCATATTCCCACGACTCTTCTAAGGCTATGTCTGGTAAACTAGCTCATAAGCTAACCGATAAACTAGTCATGTTTAATAGAATTAGCTGATAAGTCAGATGACAATGTAAAATGAACTAAAAGAATATGTAGAAAAATTAACTGCAAAAATATAAAAGGCGTAATTGGAAGGAAAAAGAATTAAGGAAAATTCCCCCTGGAGCTTATTGAAATACTAGCTTATGGCTAAGCAAATGGGGCTTTGTCAATAAGCTAGCCCATAATGGCCTAAGTTCATTTTTAAATTTCATAAACGAAAGCAAAAACTGAAGCTGAATAACCATTATTACTCACTTATAACAAGGCCGTGGATTTGACCAACCTCTTTGTTAAATCAAAGAAAATATTGGTATAAAGACTTCCCTCAACCCCCAGGGTGCGTTTGGTACGCGGACTGGCCTGGACTGGACAGGAGGGAACAAGGTAAGTGGGTGAAAGAATTCTAGAAGGTTTTTTTAGGATTTTAATGTGACATGGGTAGTTTAGTACTTCACCAATTTCTATATCATCTACCTGATATTTGTTCCACCTATTTTGGTGGGACAGAAAAAATACAATTTGTCCCTGTCCCTGTCACGTCATGTCCTGTCACGTAATGTGATGCCACAAGTTTTTGTGTATCCATAGTGTGATAATTTTATCGTATTATCATAAATATTAAACTTAGAGCAACCAAAGTAAAAGTATGAAAAAACCTGATTGATAGGACCCATTTTGAGTATGTTCTGAAACTGCTCATACATAATTCTCATCGTGAAATTTCCTTCCGAGAGCTTTTGCAGAAGCTCAGGCTGCTGATCCATCGGAACAACTTCATGAATTTTGTCCATGAATCCAGATAAGTCGCCCATGCCTAGTTGAAGAAGCCAAAAATGTAATCAAATTTTCTTGGCACTATTTCAGATAAGATAAGTGCTGAAGTGCATAGAATACAACATCAAGAGAACAACTGATGCTTAAAAGAAATAATGCAAACCTAAAAGGCGGCTGACGAAAGGTTTAACATCAAAAACTTCAAATTCATCCATATGTTCACCAGTTCCAATAAATATGACCGGGCTTTTTGTTGCTGCAACTCTGCATATAGGTTGAGAAAAGATTATCAGAAGAAGAAAAAAGGTTGAATTTTGTCAAACTATAATTTTAGATGCTAAATACAGGATATAATTAAGATGGAATTGGAACTGGTAGATAAGATGAAAACTGCAAGAGATGTATATTATTCCATCAATCCAAATAAATGGCATTGAGTTCCATTTTAGAGAACTGGCTTTGCACACTAGGAAGAGTAGTTAATCTGGTAATCTCTAATTAAGACTGCTTAGTTCTAATATATTCTTTTTCAGTACAAACCAAAAAAATGGCATAAAGAACTAAACAAGCCACTTGGTAAAGAAAACCACCTTTTAGTAAAATATAAATTAAGAATAGGGGAAGAGGAAAAAAAATTAATTGCTCATGTAAGTAGTACAGGCACTACATAAAATGATGTTAGTCCCTTTTCCTTGCTTTTTGTTGAAAGAAAAATGATGTAGCTTCTGACATCTTTGAAATTAAAGAAAAAACCTACTTGAAAATAGTTAGAAATAGCAAGTATTTCTACATAAAACCAATCTAGTAATCTAGAAGCAAGAAAGTATGGAGCCAAACATTCATATGATCTGAACATATAGAAATATATAGGTAATTAGGTATTACACACGAATAAATGAATAATCAATATTCTGACAGTTTGAAGTCCTAGATTTGTTTACATTTTTTATTTAGCACATTAGGGAGTCTCATATGGCCAATCCACATGAATCATGAGGGGGACTCTCAGATATTCATAATTTCATTTCGCAGTGTGATTATTACAAAAATATCTGCAACCGTATCTCTAGTTTTTCCAATATAATTGTCCCAAATATGGTCTCTAGAATACATTAACTGTAATGACATCATGTGAGTGTGGCCAACAACCAGCAAAAAAACAACAATAAATGGGTTGTCACATGGTAATCTGAGTAGCACCTTTCTGGCTTCCATTAAGCTCCAGGTACGGTGTTTTGAATGGTACAATCTAGGAGTCCACTTTTTGGGCAGTAAGGTTTTCATTTACTTTTCTTCCCTATATTATTGTAACTTGTAAGAAATCAGATCCTTTGACATATTATTCCTCCTACTTTTTATCCTGAATAAACTTGATTTACTTGCTCAAACTCATCTTAAATTATTGAATTGGTCATGAAAAAGAATAATGATTGAAGTAACTGTTAAAAGAAACATGAGTTGAAACCAGTAAACGATTTACAACTTTCATAATTTAGTTCTAGAGATTTCCAAGACATTTAAAGTTCGATACATGAAAGCATTGAATATACAAGATGCTGCATAACAAAAAATAGGTTAAATAAGTACTGAACTTCTAACACAAAAGAACTAAATAGGCTGATAACAATTTGTGCTAGGGTTTGTTCGTAGTTTCTTTTCCATTTTCATCCACTTGCTTTTTTTCCTTCCCTTTTCAAAACAGCCTCAGGCCCCTTCCCTGAAGGTGCAGAAATAAATGACTTTTCTTCTTCCTTAAAAGCAGACAAAGCCTTTAGTTGTTTCAGTAGGAAAAATGGTACTTTTATAGTTTTATATCATTAATGCACTAGTTAGGTTGGTAATTTACTCGAAGGGCCTAATTCACAAAGTGCAAATAGCACAAATTAAAACAATGACACTTACGCACTAAGAGCTCCGCCTCCCTTTGCATGACCGTCCATTTTAGTAACAATTACAGCTCCAACAGCAACACTCTGCTTAAATGCTTGAGCTTGGTCAAATGCAGCTTGACCAATACTGCTATCCATGACAAATATAACAAGATCTGGGTTCTGCAAGATTACATATGCCAGCCTTTAGCAACTCACGTCAGTATACAAATTTAAAAACAAAAATAACCTAATGAAGGAGATAACTCAAGTATACCGTTGCTTCAGAAACTTGCCGCATCTCTTCAAAGAGGGCTACTTCCTGTTTGTGCCGACCACTTGTATCAACAATAATAAGATCACAACTTTCCTTCTTGAACCTCTCAACACCTTCCACTGCTATTTTCACAGGGTCTGACTCCATATAGCTGTAGGCAGGATATGAAGGTTAAGTGGCATAAAGGTAGTATTATAGTAAGTTCTCAAATATTAGCTCGAAACAATCCGATAGTAAGTACTATCACTTATCTCTGAAAATAAGGTTGCTACATTTACATAACCAAAAGGTTTGCATTCAGATGATGGCCAACAGATCTGTTTCTCGTAGGAGACTAATAAAAGGATCTATTAAGCCTGTATTCTTTCTTTCTTTTTTTAAAAGAAGAAGCTTGTAATCTTTTGTCGCATAAACTAACAAAAGGACCATGATTTTATGGTATACCAAATTGCCAAACTTTAACATGAGTGACTCGGATTCAATAAGATGCAACAATGAAATGCCGCCCACGATGAGAGGCCCTTCTTTTCATTATTAGAGACCAATCTGTTATGCATAAACATGTATTGAACTGTAAACTTTAACTTTGTACGACTCAGCAGAATCCAGTTTCAATGTCTGTATTTGATTCTCTCTCCCAACACCCGTACTACACAAGTTTCTCAAGTCTAGACCGATTAAAGATTGGCTTACATTCATCCTTGATATCAAAACTTTTAATAGACTTGCAGAAATAAAATGCATGGATGTACATTCAACAGATAAACAACCTTCCATAGAACGGAATCTTAGCTTTTGTGGCGTTCTGCTTCAACTGATCAAAAGCACCTGCCCTGAATGTATCTGCACATACCAGAGCTGGTTTCCAGCCCTTCTTCTGGTGGTAATACGCATATTTTGTACAAGTTGTAGTTTTGCCAGAACCTATCATTCACATTCAGTAAGCACATGTCGTCAAGGATCCAAATACATATAATACTGGAAATTAATATATGATGAAGTGGTAAATACTATGGCATACAAACGTCGGCATGACGTGCAAATAAAGATATCTCCTAACCTAGCAACAAGCAAAGCGGCTGTGCTATTACAATTTAAAGACAACAGAAGATATATGAACAGAATACCTTGAAGACCCACAAACATGACAACACTTGGTTTCGCTTTCTTGGGTGTGAAAGACGGCTTCCCAGGATCTAACATCTTGCAGAGCTCATTAAATATGGCCTAGAAGAAATGAATCAATCATTGTCAAACAGCACAAAGTTTTAAATGATAAAGGACTCGGATTATTTTGCCGTACGATGGTTGATGAATTTATAAAGGAACTAACACAGTCATAGCCAACATAAGAAACCAAACAATCAGGGTCTGTTTAGCTTAGGCTGAGGAATGAAAATGGGAATGAAAATGAAAATGACTGGGAATGAATTTTCATTCCCCCAGTTTAACCAGGAATGAAATTTTGGACTTCTAATGGAATGAGCCCATTATATTATACGAAACCAACAGTTTCTTTTATTTTCATTCCTATTGATTATTGTTTTAACCCTCTAACCAAACATGCCCGGAGTCTTTTATCAAAGGGTCCTTGTCCCAGTGGTACCTTGTTATCGGTAGAGCCCAACCTCCCAAAAGGTCAAGGGTCCCAACCTCACCAAAGGCGAGAAGTGTGCGTAGTATTTGTCGTATATAAATATTATATGCTTCAAGAAAAAAGAAACCAAATAGTTGTTTCTAAAACTAGCGCTTTAAATATGGCCTATAAGAAACGATTAAATCACCGTCAAAAGAGCACAAAACTCTAATGATAAAGGACTCAGATTAGTCTACCATACAATGGCAATGAAGGTAATACAGAAACCAAGGCAGTCATAGCCAACAGAAGAAACCAAATAGTTTTTAAAACCATAGCATGTCAGTGGATGATAACAAAATGCACACAAACAAAGAAAAAAGATTTGAACTGTTAAACAGTTAAATTGGCCTGTGTTTCAAGCAACATGTTTCTAAACATACTTCTAAATATCTTTACTTATTCATTCCATTGCATGGATGTGGTTTTGTTAGGATAGCCTTTCAAAGGGTGATAAAGAAGCGGATATTCTTTTGTATACTTGCCAATGATGATCCTAAATTAGCATCTCTAGCTCAATAGCAGAGTATATAACATAAGAAACAGTAAATATAATTAATAAGATCATTATGTCATGAGTGATAAAGTTTATAAAGTTCTACTTGAGTCCATTCTTTACCAGAGTGAACCTAACAACATTGTGCCAACATAAGCAGACACTCAAAAAGAAGATAGAAAACAGATGTCTCCTCCAATCAAATAAGCAAATTTTCATCAGCTAGAACCTCCGGTCTCCAGGTTAGTGTTTTACACCATATGGTTTTAAGTTGGGAACTGCAATTTAATCTGAACACATTCAAACTCAAAACAGTTGCTGAATTATAATTTCAGTCACTGGAAATAGAGTTCCTAAACACACCGGTTTGTTATTTCTTCAACTATATTCAAGTTTCGTTGTTCCTTTCCCGAATACATAGACAACACACAACATCAAGTTCATTCATCGTTCTCAAGTTCACTAATTTTGCACACACTAAGATAACACCGGATCAAAAAAAACAAAATTCGACATATACCTGCTGGATGATTTTCCGCTTGTTGTGACCTGCAGCAAGATCATCGAGATTGACGATCTTCTTAATATTGGTCTGCATGTCACGAACGAGCTTGAACTGAACATCGGATTGAAGAAGTGCGCGAGTGATCTCGTTTAGGCAATCATTAAGGACCTTCTCGTCGATGATCGTGGCATTGCTCATCTGCTGGAGAGCACGTGAAATGCTCCCCCCTAACTCTGCCAACACCATCTTGGATTATTTGCGTGACGATTTGAACAACGCGGTCTGTTCAGAGAGCTCGGAACCTAAATCTAACACTAATTTCTCAACTGAGTAACAGTATGATAGGGGTTAGGGTTTCCGATTTCAGATTTAGGGTTTGGACGAGAAGGGGGTAAGGTAGACAACGGCTCTCGCCGGCGGGTCAGATTCGGGTATTAAAACGGACGGGATGGTTGGATGTTGGTCGAACCTTCAACGATATTTGGTAGGTGTTTGGATGTGGTGGTATCAAGTTTTGCATCAAATTGGAATTTTAATTTTTTCAATTTACGGTTTAAATAATATATTTTGATTTTTATATTTATATTTATGTTTAGGATAATTTAATTGGGTTAAGTTTCCGTGAGACTACCTGTTTTGTGATATGAGATCATAAAATAACACTGAATTTTCACAAGTTAATATAAAAAAACATTGAATCTTTGCAGCAAAATACTGTAAATGTAAAAAAAAAATCGAACTTTCACAGCAAAATGTATGTTTTTAAATGTTGTTTTGAAATAATGTTTTCCAACTAAAAATTGAATAAATTTATGTATGTATAAGTTGGTTTATAACATGTAACTCTTCAGTCGGGTTCTATCGTCATTTGTCCCAATATTATTATGTGAGAGAAAAATCAGATAACACCAGCTTATTTGTTGGTTGTCTTGTGAGTTGGTGCTTGATAATGTGCAACAAGTTATTTGATTCAATAACAACCGACCGACTAACATCCAACATGTGATTATGTGGACCTCAACCAATCTCATAAGACCATGTGTGTAAAGGAGGCATATATTTAACCTCATGTTGTAACACCATTAATTTCAGGTCATACGGGTGGTAGTTGCAGAAACGTGCGAGTGTTCGAGTCTCAGTGTCTTAATGTGGAAGTTACAAGTTTTTTAGGGATCAAGCTCCCCATGGGCACTGATACGGGTATTTATCGGTTTACATCCAACGGATTTTAATAGAATCGCTTCAATCCAATCATCCATTTCAATTTTTAACAACCAGCCAACAAAGAAAAATCATATAAGTATTGGAGTGCTTATTGACGATAGTAATCACCCTTGTTAAAGGTCATGTCAAACTTTTTTGAGGTCTTGCTACATTTATATTGAAACTATAAATCACATACACCAATACTAAAGATTGACTGACCGATTAATAAATAAAACAAAATTTCATATTAAAAATCTTACAACTTAATATACAAAAATGTGTTAAAAGAATCAGGTTCATACATATGAAGTTCAACGGTTCCCTTTTGTACCTTCCATATCAAACTACAACTGTTCATATAACACAATTGTGAGCAAGTGGTTTGACTTCTTAAACTTATGGGCCGTTACTAAACGCTTATCAGGTTATTTTACCTTATCGGATGAACATGACAAACATTGGAGTTTTACCCGTAAGAGCTATAAGCTGTAGTATCGACTCTTATCCGGGTAAGCACTTACATGATAAATTATTGCATACGATGCGGCTTTAATGAACTAAAATCTTACTTGGTAAGTTAAGTTAAAGTATTAGTCTTTTACCGGTAAGCTCTCAATGGGTAAGGCGCTGGGTAATCGGTCCCTTAGACTCAAAAAACATTGCAATTTTTTGGTCATTTATTCGTTCAAAACCAACAATTTCATAAATAAATCAATAAGAAACAAGCCAAATTTAGAAAGTCATATACCATTAAAATAAAAATAAAATCTTATAACATTTGGGAATCAGGCTACAAACCATTCGTCACTAGATTGAGTATCCCCCCACACCCTTTTGTGTTAATCGAGTGTGTTTCATGGTTAGAATATAGTATGTTTTGAGTTTTATTCATGTATAGAAATTCCAATAGCACGTCACTTGATTGTGACTCCCTGCATCTAGTGAAGATGAAACCATAAGACATTAACTTGGTCCCTGTTTACACCAACAACTACAAAGTCTGCACCATATGAAAAATCAATATCAAGGAAATATTACACGCAAATATAGCACAAAAACTATAATCTTATACGTAACTCGCTTATATGGATCGGCCCTAACAAGCTTGAAACGAAGAAATAGCCCTATTAACTTGTAATTGTAATTGTTGGAGTTAATCAAAAAAGAAATTGTAGATTTACTGGAGCCAGTCAACTAAGAAGTTGTAGATCTAATGGAGTCATCAAAAAACAAATAATTTGCTTGCTTGTAGATTTGGTGATTTAATCAAAAGACACTAGCGACTATTTTTTATTTTGGTAGCCATAGTTGTCGAACAAGAAAGAAATTGTAGAGTCGACAAGTCGTGTTTGTTTGTCGAACAATGAAGAAATTGTGGAGTCGGGAAGTCGTATTTGTTCCTCGAACAATAACGAAATTACAAGGGTAGAGGAGTCATGTTTGTTCATCATCAGGAAAACAAAGCATAAAAGGAGTAAGGAGGAGTTGAATCAACGATTATAAAGAGTACCACGGATTTGGCTAGAAGCATAAACTAGATCTGGGCCCTAACGATTGGGGGACCCTGTTCATTGTAACACGATCACACATGCTAAGTCACGGGCCTGCCCTTCGTTACCTTGTCGAATAACATTATTGACCATCAAATGAATTGTGGTAAGTGTCTATTACTAGTAAGTGCTTACGAGGTAAGAGTTTTATCTATCAATTACCATGTAAGATTATTGGTCCTTGCATGCTTCTTACCGGTAGGATTCTCGATCGTTAACATGTTTACCAATAAGGTAAGCAACACTTGGTAAGAGCATGATAAACGATCTTTAGTCAAGTGTTCATAAAAGTCAATAATATGCCCCCCTTACGTAAGGGTAGAGATGCACAAAAAATCCGAACCCAAAGTCCAACCTAGATCTAACCCGAGCTCAAACCTAGTGACCCTAAAGGCTCGATTAGACCAAAACTTTGGGGCAGACTTAGGCCTATGCTTCAGCCCAAGAAAACCCATTCTAATAAGGCATGTAAAAGCACAACCAAAACTCCTTTCAACTCAGAGTGTCATCAGACCTAGAAGAACCAAATTCTTTTTTACTTATAGAATACTGGTTAGGAAGGTCCAAGATCCTTACATATTTACACAATGGCTGATTTAACCTTTAGATTTACTATATTTTATTTGATACCTTTAATCGAATTTTTAACATGTTATACTGCAACATAATTAGATCAATAATGTAATTAACGTTATTTAAATATTTGTATTAAAATATTGATTTTTATATATTTTGTGGTTTAAAGAAAATGTGATTTTTGAAAGCCCTGATTGGGTTAGCCGCACCCCCATAAAGTCACCCAAACGTCCAACTAGAGTCAGTCACGTAGACAGGTGCGACCGACTTAACCCTCTTTATTAGACCTCTTGTTTCTTCTCGCCTCTTTTTTCATTTCGACTGGGAGTGTCACTCCGTTTCGGGTTAGATCCAAAACCCTAGCGACCGCCATTGAACCTCTCCAATACCTTTCTTGATTTGCTTCATCCAATCTTTCAATATCGTTTCATCAATCTCCACATATAATTCCACGAGAGGTCAGGTCGGTTGATTTCGTTGCCATTTCAAGGGTTTTATGGTTAGGTTTTAGGAATCATGTGGAATAACAGCAACGGACAAGAGATGTGGAATAACAATGGTATGATTGCTCCTCCTGGGACTGGAGGAGGACCGCCGTTAGCGCCTCCCGGGACTGGAGGTGCTGGTGGCTCAATACCGCCACCACCTGCCGCGCAACCGTCTTATACTGTCTTGCCGTCTCCGGCTGAAGCGGAGGCCAGGCTGGAAGAGAAGGCGAGGAAGTGGATGCAGTTGAACTCGAAGCGGTATGGAGATAAACGGAAATTTGGCTTTGTTGAGACTCAGAAGGAAGACATGCCTCCGGAACATGTTAGGAAGATTATCAGGTGAGTTTGTCAGCTGTGCAGTTAGATATTTGGTTTGACCTAGCGTTTCAGTAAGGTGTGGGTGTCTGTTTGAACCTGTTGAACATCGAGCATGTTACTGTTTGGATCAGTTACTAGTAATTTTAGCTCTGAGCGGAGTTTATGGACTTCAGCTACCTGAACTGGCTCCAATCTTGTTTGTTTTTATCATCAAGATTAAGAGCCCCTGTGTTCTTATTATTTTCTACTGAAACAATTTTCACATGGATACGAGTGCTGACCTCGGGGCGAGAAAGTAAAAGGGTTACCTGCGGTTAAAAGCTCCCGTCAGATGAGATTCTTTGAGTTTTATGAATTGTTTCTTCTAGTGATATAATAATTTTATTTACTATATCGAAATTCAACCTCACCTCTTTTTTCTGGAGAGGCTCGTAGAGTCTTTCTTCGTATCATGTTTGTATAGTTATAATAATAGTTATTATTTTTTATGTTAAGTAAATGAAGTAGCAATGTTCAGGGAGTCGCCTCTGGTTTAGGATAAAAAGATCATCCTTTTCATGCTTGTAGTGCGTACACAGGCTTCAGCGCCTAGATCATTTTGAAAATTTCTCTAGCATTTTTTTAAGACATGATAATCTGATACCTTAGATCAGTATCTATATTTGCTCACACCTATAACTAGATACGGACATTCATTAGGTTTTGTTTAACAAAAGCTTTATATGTGTAGGAGTTATTTGTTAAATACATGTTCGGTGTCTTGTTAGTTTGAAAGTTACTGATACACATGATAGAAAGTTCAACGGTTTCTAATTCATTTTTACGTTTGAATCTGACTTTTTGCCGGTACTATTTCCAGCTATTTTCCATGAAATACCAAAACAAAGTTTCCTATATAGGCTTGCTGTCGACTTGGCTATTTATTTAGTTCATACTTCCCTATGACATTCTAAAGCCTTTAATGGCCTGTTTTAGAAATGAAGAACATGGTCGGCAATACCTTTAGGTTATATGCATGGGTCACCTTTTTGTTCACTATCTTACGCATGTATTTCTGGAGCCGTATTTTAGGACGCTATGGTGATATGTTGGATCGCATGCACATTGTTCATTGTTTGGTTCTTAATCATCTGCCGAAATCAAGACTCCTTATTTCCTTGTTCAGTTATTAGTTCACTGAAGATCTTCATATTTTCTCTTTCACGTTACTATCTTATTTGTGAATCGTTACTTACAATTTACTAGTTTATTTTTTGGGGTCATCTAATTTTGTAAATTGTTGTTTTTTACAGGGATCATGGTGATATGTCATCCAAAAAGTACAGGCATGACAAACGTGTATATCTGGGCGCTCTCAAGTTTGTTCCTCATGCTGTCTATAAGCTTCTTGAGAACATGCCTATGCCCTGGGAACAGGTACTGTGATTTCTTTCGTATTACATGTTACCTTATCTTTCCTTATCTCGTGGATTGCTTCATTATCTACTGTCTTTTTGCTGATTGATTTGATTTTCGTCAATGTAGGTCCGAGATGTGAAGGTGCTATATCACATTACTGGTGCCATCACATTCGTGAATGAGATTCCATGGGTTGTTGAACCAATATATCTTGCACAGGTAGGACATTGATTATAAGTGTAATACCATTGTATGAGAAATCGAAAATGAAACGACAATACATAAGTTATTATAAAAAAAGTCGTGTCCTTGTTGGTTGTTTTGTCAATTGTAGTTTGTAATCAATTATGAGGTGCTTGCTTCTTTTGTTTGAATAACCAATCATATCATGAAGGAAATTGACCTTAATGAACTTATACAGTGGGGTACCATGTGGATCATGATGCGAAGGGAGAAGAGGGACCGAAGGCATTTCAAGAGAATGCGTTTTCCTCCTTTTGATGATGAAGAGCCTCCATTGGACTATGCTGACAATCTTCTGGATGTGGATCCTTTGGAACCAATTCAACTGGAGTTGGATGAGGAAGAAGATTCTGCCGTTTATACTTGGTTCTATGACCATAAACCTCTTGTGAAGACCAAGCTTATTAATGGACCAAGTTATCGAAAATGGCATCTGTCGCTCCCTATCATGGCAACGCTTCATCGATTAGCAGGACAGCTGCTTTCTGATTTGATTGATCGGAATTATTTCTACTTGTTTGATATGGAGTCATTTTTCACGGCCAAAGCTCTTAATATGTGTATACCAGGTATGTCTATCTGACCTTATGTTTATTATTTTTCATGATTATAATCGGAGGACATTGGGTTGAATTCGAATCTTAATAATGATTGCTGGGTGTGTATATTTTTCGAGTTTTTTTTTTTGAATGATCTGTTCATGTTTCGAGAATGGAGGGCTAGCTGTATGAGCATAAGCACTCTATTCAATGGCATGTACATTTTCTTAAGCATCTTCTTGTTCGTAGGTGGTCCCAAATTTGAACCTTTGTATCGTGACATGGAGAAAGGTGATGAGGATTGGAATGAGTTCAATGATATCAATAAACTCATTATCCGTTCGCCTTTGAGGACTGAGTACAGGATTGCTTTCCCTCATCTATATAACAATAGGCCAAGGAAAGTAAGGCTATGTATATATCATACACCGATGGTTATGTATATAAAAACGGAGGATCCTGATTTGCCTGCATTTTATTATGATCCCCTGATACACCCAATCACTTCCGTCAATAAAGACCGGCGTGACAAGAAAGTTCATGACGATAATGAAGATGAAGATGATTTCTGTTTGCCAGAGGGTGTTGAGCCGTTGCTTAGTGGTACTCCATTGTATACTGACACTACAGCTGCTGGTATTTCTTTGTTATTTGCACCCCGTCCCTTTAACATGAGATCTGGCCGGATGCGGCGTGCTGAAGATATCCCTCTTGTTTCGGAGTGGTATAAGGAACACTGGTATGGCTTATTTTCTTTTAATATTCCAGCATTTTACCTTTGTTATATATTTTTGATCCGGATGATGAGCCTATTACTGCAGTATGGGATATGGGCAATTTTTGGTACTCTCATTTTCAGTTGCTTTTTATTGCTTACTTATAGTCTATGTGGATTTTCTTTTTGCAGTCCTCCTTCATATCCAGTGAAAGTTCGGGTTAGCTATCAGAAGTTACTGAAGTGTTTCGTTTTGAACGAGCTGCATCATAGACCGCCTAAAGCTCAAAAGAAGAAGCACTTATTCCGTTCTCTCCAGGCTACCAAGTTTTTTCAGACCACAGAACTTGATTGGGCTGAAGCAGGTCTACAAGTTTGTAAGCAGGGGTACAACATGCTCAATCTGTTGATTCATCGGAAGAATCTTAATTACCTTCATCTTGACTATAACTTCAATCTTAAGCCTGTGAAGACTCTTACCACCAAGGAGCGTAAGAAGTCACGATTTGGAAATGCTTTCCATCTTTGCCGTGAAATTTTGCGTTTGACAAAGCTTGTCGTTGATGCAAATATTCAGTTCCGATTGGGGAATGTGGATGCATTTCAGTTGGCTGATGGTCTGCAATATACATTTTCACATGTTGGGCAGTTAACTGGTATGTACCGTTACAAGTACCGACTCATGAGGCAGATTCGGATGTGCAAGGATTTGAAGCATTTGATTTATTACCGGTTCAATACTGGGCCAGTTGGGAAAGGACCTGGATGTGGTTTCTGGGCACCTATGTGGAGAGTGTGGTTGTTTTTCCTTCGTGGAATAGTGCCTCTACTGGAGAGGTGGCTGGGAAATTTACTTGCTCGCCAATTTGAGGGACGACACTCTAAAGGGGTGGCTAAGACTGTTACAAAACAACGTGTTGAAAGCCATTTCGATCTGGAGCTTCGTGCTGCCGTGATGCATGACGTTCTTGATGCCATGCCAGGTGATAACCCTAATTTGTCACCTCTGAATCACACTATGCTTTACATCTTCTCTTCGTGCTATATATATTTTGAAAAATTGTTAAATTTAGTTGCATCTCATCAAATTCCGTCTTTAGTTGTTTCGTTCTTTTACGTGTAATGGTCACGTCAGTTGCCGCCATGTCAATTCCTACCGTCATCTAAACTATTATTAGCAATACTTGTCTACATTAGCAAATAATTGAACTAGTTTATTGGGACTCATACTTGTCCATTGGGATAAATTCTACATTGGATTATTCTTGGGTGTTATGGTTGATAATAAGCCACTTTCTCGGCTTATTTCTTTTGCATCTTCTGTCTTGCTATGTTTAGTTGTAATTATGGTTTTGTTCTCCCTAGTTTTGATCACTTTCATGCTTTCCTTATAACCCCCGGTCTTGAACTTTCAGAGGGAATAAAGCAAAATAAGGCAAGAACCATTTTGCAGCATTTGAGTGAAGCATGGCGTTGTTGGAAGGCAAATATCCCCTGGAAGGTATTATCATGTGAAATCATTTGCATTTATAATGTATTCAGTGCCCAATATCTTTATTTAACATTTGTATTTATAGGTTCCTGGTTTACCGGTTCCGATAGAGAACATGATTCTCCGATATGTGAAGTCAAAAGCTGATTGGTGGACAAATGTTGCTCACTACAATCGTGAACGTATAAGGAGGGGTGCCACAGTGGATAAGACTGTTTGTAGGAAGAACTTGGGGAGATTGACTCGTCTTTGGCTGAAGGCAGAACAGGTATATATATGTCCGTGTGTGTATAATTTTTGTATGTGCATTGGTTAATGAGAAGCTTTTCAGCAACCTCTAATTTCACATCATTGGATGTAGTGGGTTATTGATGCTTTTTCTTGGAATATGTTCATTTCTTTTTCCTGTTTTCTTACAGGAACGTCAGCACAACTACTTGAAAGATGGTCCATATGTCACCCCAGAAGAAGCTGTCGCCATCTACACCACCACAGTTCATTGGTTGGAGTCTAGAAAGTTTTCACCTATACCATTTCCGCCACTGTCTTACAAGCATGACACCAAGCTTCTTATTCTTGCTCTCGAGAGGCTTAAGGAATCTTATAGTGTGGCTGTGAGGTTAAATCAGCTCCAAAGAGAAGAATTGGGCTTGATTGAACAAGCTTATGACAATCCACATGAGGCATTATCAAGAATAAAACGTCACCTCCTTACCCAACGTGCTTTTAAAGAAGTAAGTTTTTTAAATTTCATTTGTGTGAATGCTTGTCTTAACTCAGCCTTGTCCAACTTCCTTCAAACTAAGCGGAGTTTTGCTTTGTAGGTTGGCATAGAGTTTATGGATTTATACAGCTATCTGATTCCAGTTTATGAGATTGAGCCTCTTGAGAAGATTACAGATGCATATCTTGATCAATATTTATGGTATGAAGGTGACAAGCGTCATCTCTTTCCCAATTGGATCAAGCCTGCAGATTCAGAGCCCCCACCACTCTTGGTTTATAAGTGGTGCCAGGGCATAAACAATTTGCAGGGTATATGGGACACTGGTGATGGGCAGTGTGTGGTAATGCTTCAGACCAAGTTTGAGAAGTTCTTTGAGAAGATTGATTTGACAATGCTTAACAGGTCGGTGCCCAAGATCTCTTTGTTATTTGTTCCTTCTGCTAAATTATCTGATAATTAAGCAAAGATTTTTATCTTATGCAGGCTTTTACGGTTGGTCCTTGACCACAATATTGCTGATTATGTTACGGCAAAGAACAATGTTGTGTTGTCTTATAAAGATATGAGTCACACGAACTCATATGGGCTGATACGTGGTCTTCAGTTTGCGTCTTTTGTGGTACAATACTATGGATTGGTGTTGGATCTTTTACTTCTTGGTTTGACACGTGCAAGTGAAATTGCTGGTCCACCACAAATGCCCAACGAGTTCATTACTTTCTGGGACACTAAAGTTGAAACACGACATCCGATACGGCTGTATTCTCGGTACATTGACAAAGTGCATATTTTATTTCGTTTTACACATGAAGAGGCTCGAGATCTTATACAGCGTTATCTCACTGAACATCCTGATCCCAACAACGAGAATATGGTTGGTTACAATAATAAGAAGTGCTGGCCAAGAGATGCAAGAATGAGGCTCATGAAACATGATGGTAAACTTCTTGATGTTATATTTCAGAATTGAGATGCACTAGGGATTTTATTTAACAGTAGAAGAGATTAGGTTTGTTATATCTTATATTTCCGTCTGAGACCAATTGTTTATCTTGTATTTCTTATCAGTGAATCTTGGAAGAAGTGTTTTCTGGGATATGAAGAATCGTCTTCCTCGGAGTATCACAACTTTGGAGTGGGAGAACAGCTTTGTTTCTGTTTATAGCAAAGACAATCCAAACCTGCTATTTAGCATGTATGTTGCATGATTCTTTGCTTTACCTCTTGTTTTTTTAAATAATTCAAATGAGGACAAGATGATGTCTTCTATCAAGGTAGCTTGTGAGTTTCAATATTTTAATGACATATTTGCAATTGGCGTGCAGGTGTGGGTTTGAGGTTCGTATATTGCCAAAAATAAGAATGACTCAGGAGGCATTCAGTAATACGAGAGATGGAGTTTGGAACTTGCAGAATGAACAGACAAAAGAGCGTACAGCAGTTGCTTTCTTACGAGTTGATGATGAACACATGAAAGTGTTTGAGAATCGTGTAAGGCAGATTCTTATGAGTTCAGGATCTACAACGTTCACAAAAATCGTTAACAAATGGAATACAGCTTTAATAGGTATTTGGCCTTATGCTTCTGTTTGCTTTCTTCAATTCTTTTCCTTGTGCAAGTAAGAAGAGCTACACCAGGCACCTATTCTCAGCCACAATATTTTGTTATCTGGCAGGTCTAATGACATACTTCCGTGAAGCAACCGTGCATACACAAGAGCTTTTAGATCTGTTGGTCAAATGTGAAAACAAAATCCAGACCCGTATCAAAATTGGATTAAATTCAAAAATGCCTAGCAGGTAAGCTTTCGATAATTTAAGTTACTATGCTCTATGGTGACCTTTTTGGTGTGTGACATCTGACAAAATTCTGCTTATAGATTCCCTCCTGTGATTTTCTACACACCCAAGGAGATTGGAGGGCTTGGTATGCTGTCGATGGGTCACATATTGATTCCACAGAGTGATCTCCGTTATAGTCAGCAGACAGATGTTGGGGTAACTCACTTTAGGAGTGGTATGAGTCATGAAGAAGACCAATTGATTCCAAATCTGTATCGTTATATACAGGTATCATGTTCTCCAAATCCTTAGATGTTCTCAATCTTATGTGGCAGTCCATCTCCTGAATGCTTTTCTATTTTCTACAGCCATGGGAGAGCGAGTTCATTGATTCACAACGTGTTTGGGCTGAATATGCTCTGAAGAGGCAGGAAGCCCAGTCACAGAACAGGCGGTTAACGCTTGAAGACTTGGAAGTGAGTATTATTCACATATATTGATATATGTTCATCATTATATGGTGAAGGCATATTAAATGATGTTCTCTAAACTTTATGTTAGGACTCATGGGATCGTGGAATACCAAGAATCAATACCTTGTTCCAGAAGGATCGACACACACTAGCATATGACAAGGGATGGAGGGTGAGAACTGATTTCAAGCAGTATCAGGTTCTGAAACAAAACCCATTTTGGTGGACACACCAGAGACACGATGGTAAATTGTGGAACTTGAATAATTACCGAACTGACGTTATCCAAGCACTTGGTGGTGTTGAAGGAATTTTGGAGCATACATTATTCAAGGGAACATAGTACGGTTCACTCTTATTCACTCTTTTAGTTGACCATGAAGATGAGCTCTCTATTATTTATTTAGTTTGGATGGTCATTGTTCTTTTTTGATGAACTTCTGTTGTTCTGACTTTGCATTACCAAAATGTCGTCTTACAGTTTTCCAACTTGGGAGGGTCTCTTTTGGGAGAAAGCTTCAGGTTTTGAGGAGTCCATGAAGTACAAGAAGCTGACTAATGCTCAGAGATCAGGGCTGAACCAAATTCCAAATCGTAGGTTCACACTTTGGTGGTCGCCTACCATTAACCGAGCTAACGTTTATGTTGGTTTCCAAGTGCAACTGGATTTGACTGGAATATTCATGCACGGAAAGATTCCCACCCTGAAGATCTCTCTTATTCAGATCTTTCGTGCTCACTTGTGGCAGAAGGTCCATGAGAGCGTTGTGATGGATCTCTGCCAGGTATTGGATCAGGAGTTGGATGCATTGGAGATCGAGACTGTGCAGAAGGAAACAATCCATCCAAGAAAGAGTTACAAAATGAACAGCTCTTGTGCTGACATTCTCTTATTTGCTGCACATAGATGGCCCATGTCAAAACCCAGTCTGGTGGCCGAGTCGAAGGACGTATTTGATCAGAAAGCAAGTAACAAATACTGGATTGATGTTCAGCTTCGTTGGGGTGATTATGATTCTCATGATATCGAGCGTTATACTAGAGCCAAGTTCATGGACTACACCACCGATAACATGTCTATCTATCCATCGCCAACAGGTACATCATGCGATTGCTGTGCTCCTCTTACCTTGAACCGTCAGATTGTCAAACCGATGTACTCCCTCTTTGGTCTTTTCCAAAATAGATGTCCACAGTGAGCAGGCACACAGTTTTAGAAATGTGTAATTATTACACTCATTACTTAACTAAATGACAAAATTACCCTTAATAAATAGATGGAGTAATGAATTTCCCATCTAATAATTAGGGGTACAATTGGAAAAAAGAGGACACTTATTTTGGGAAAAACGAAATAGAAAATGTGTTTACTTATTTTGGGATGGGGGTAGTAGTTTTTTTGTTCAGGCATAGACTAAAGTTGTTCAATGTATAATTGCAGGGGTGATGATTGGATTGGATCTTGCGTACAACTTGCACTCTGCTTTCGGGAATTGGTTCCCGGGGTCAAAGCCACTGCTTGCTCAGGCTATGAATAAGATTATGAAGGTATTGGACATTATCTTAATTTTGAGATTTTGGTTTATATGGTATTGGAATATTGGTTTTTGTCTCGTTGAGGTTTATATGTGATTTATATTTAAAGCCAGACAACTTGATTTTTTGCTGTGCAGTCAAATCCAGCTTTATATGTTCTAAGAGAGCGCATAAGGAAAGGATTGCAATTGTATTCTTCGGAGCCAACTGAGCCATATTTGTCATCTCAGAACTATGGAGAAATCTTCAGCAACCAGATAATTTGGTTTGTTGATGATACGAATGTGTACCGTGTGACCATTCACAAAACTTTTGAAGGAAATCTTACAACAAAACCAATTAATGGTGCTATTTTCATATTTAATCCCCGAACCGGGCAACTGTTTCTGAAGGTTTGTCTTTTCCGTCACCTTTAGTTTTGGGTATGCTTTTCAGCTGCTAGGCTGTTTATTTATTTGCTTCATACGTAATTTGCAGGTTATTCACACAAGTGTGTGGGCAGGGCAAAAGCGTCTTGGTCAACTGGCTAAGTGGAAAACAGCAGAAGAAGTGGCTGCTCTTGTTCGTTCATTACCTGTTGAGGAACAGCCAAAACAGATCATCGTCACTCGTAAAGGCATGTTGGATCCTCTTGAAGTCCACTTGCTTGATTTTCCCAATATCGTCATAAAAGGAAGTGAGCTGCAGCTTCCATTCCAGGCATGTCTGAAAATTGAGAAATTTGGTGATTTGATTCTGAAGGCATCAGAACCACAAATGGTTTTGTTCAATATATATGATGATTGGTTGAAGAGCATATCGTCGTACACAGCGTTCTCCAGGCTCATTTTGATACTGCGTGCTTTACATGTAAACAATGAGAAGGCAAAGATGTTGCTCAAGCCTGATAAGACGATTATCACGGAGCCCCATCATATCTGGCCTTCACTTTCTGATGATCAATGGGTGAAGGTAAACGTCTTCAATCTACATATCAGCATTATATAGAAATATAAGTCATGGTAGCTGAATATTTGGACTAGAACTAATATGATCTCATTTGGTGCAGGTTGAAGTTGCTCTAAGAGATCTCATATTGTCTGATTATGCAAAGAAGAATAATGTTAATACTTCAGCACTGACACAATCTGAGATACGTGATATTATACTTGGTGCTGAAATTACTCCACCTTCTCAGCAGCGGCAGCAAATTGCTGAGATCGAGAAACAGGTACTTGCTAGAATTGCTACTATTTTGAATCATATGTTTAACTTTGTTCCCTAATTTTTTTTTGTTTAGTCGTGATATTTATCTTTCTTTAATGAGTTTTCTTGCCTTGATCATATTTTCCATCCACTTTATTATACAACCCTTTTGGTCAATTCCAGAATTTCTTCAGTTTTTATTTTATAAGCTGACATGGACTAATCTTTTCATATTCAACTCAATTCATGTCACACACTTGCTAGGGATATATTGATCTTCCAGGGTAAACGAAGTTGTTTATTGATTTTCAGTTATTTTTAAGCGGATCTCATTTGCTCTGTATCCTGTATAGGCAAAAGAAGCTAGCCAATTGACGGCTGTGACTACCAGAACAACAAACGTTCATGGTGATGAACTTATCGTTACCACCACAAGTCCTTATGAACAAGCTGCATTCGGTTCCAAGACAGATTGGCGTGTGAGAGCTATATCAGCTACAAACCTCTATCTCCGTGTGAATCATATATATGTCAACTCTGAGGACATAAAGGTAATTATACTTCATCTCTATCTGTTAGGCAGTGTTGCTCAAAATTACAAATATCTTATATTTGCTGCATTGGTTTGAAATTCTATGCAGGAAACGGGGTATACTTACATCATGCCAAAGAATATTTTGAAGAAATTCATATGCATTGCAGACTTGAGAACTCAGATTTCTGGGTACTTGTATGGTGTAAGTCCTCCTGATAATCCTCAAGTGAAAGAAATTCGTTGCATTGCCATGCCACCACAGTGGGGAACCCATCAACAAGTGCATCTCCCATCAGCTCTCCCTGAACACGACTTCCTTAGCGATCTGGAACCGTTGGGATGGATGCACACACAACCAAATGAGCTTCCTCAGCTATCTCCACAGGTTTGTTCTATTTTATGACTCAGTCACGAGATTCATATTGAGGGTTTGATTCTACTAAATACATGATTATGATTGCTCGTCATGTTATGCTAGTGTAATGATTGGTGTCAATAAAACAAAATCTGCTTTATAGGACCTTAAGTTTATAGAATCAAACAATTGTGCCTCCTATGTAAATGTGTTGCAATAAGTTGAAATGATGCCTATGCCTTTATGGATTCTAACAAGTTTTTAAGGCACAATTTTGAAAGAGGGTCTCATATAAGTGAATTTTTGTCATTGTGGATTAATCTGTCTGTATAGATCGGAAAGGTTTTTGCTTGGGAGGGTTTTTTCATAGATGGAAGAAACATGTTCTTTAATTGGGAGGGGCAGGTTAGGAAGAATCTTGGCTTTCTGCATAAAGCTTCCCCTTAGAAGCTTTCTGAATGAGCCACTTTCTATATCATTAAAGCACTACCAAACAGTCACTTATAGTTGATCAAATAAGCTGTGAGTCTCATTAAGTTCATTAAGCTGCTAACAAACAGCCCTTAGTGTTTTTACGACATTATATGAAAAAATGCCCGTGTCCTATAAAAAAGATGTATTCGTAAGACACTTCTCAAAAGTGTTGTAAGAAACTTGTTATGCCCAAATGCTTTCTAAGATCCTATTGTAACACTTTACTCAATTCCATAAAGTAAAAGCTATTAGGACTTGTAAACATTTTTGGTATCCTGTAAAGACGATTTTGCTATATTGTATTGGTGCTGTTGATCCAGAAGGATGTTGGTTTTTAACGTATGTCTGTATGAATTGAATTTGGCAGGATCTTACGTTTCATGCTCGGATTTTGGAGAACAACAAGCAATGGGATGGGGAGAAATCTATCATACTGACTTGCAGTTTCACTCCGGGTTCGTGTTCGTTGACTGCATACAAGCTGACACCAACAGGTTATGAATGGGGGCGTGCAAACAAGGATACAGGAAGCAATCCCCATGGTTATCTACCAACTCACTATGAGAAGGTTCAGATGCTTCTAAGTGACCGTTTCCTTGGTTTCTATATGGTAAGAAGCTTTTCCTATAAATCTCATGCAACTTAACTTAGGGGGTGTTTGGTTGGTTGGTTTTCCATTAAGACCTGTCTGAATGAAGATGTCTGTGCGGATTAATCTGTCTATATAGATTGGGAAGGTTTTTGTTTGGGAGGGTTTTTTATGGATGGAAAGAACGTGTTTTTTAATTGGGAGAGACAGTTTTGGAAAAAAACTTGGCTTTATGAGTAAGCCACATTCTATATCAATAAGCCACTACCAAACAATCATCTATATCTGACCGAATAAGCTGCTAGTCCCATTAAGCTGCTAACATACGTGGATTTTGTGGTTTTAGGTTCCTGATAACGGTCCTTGGAATTACAATTTCATGGGAGTGAAGCATACGATTAGCATGAAGTACGGAATAAAGCTGGGGAGTCCACGCGAATATTACCATGAAGATCATCGGCCGACCCATTTCTTGGAGTTCAGCAATTTGGAGGAGGGTGATGTGGCAGAAGGAGATAGGGAGGATACATTCTCTTGAAGAAGATGTTATCTGTTTTAACAACAAAATTGTACTAGTGTACATATATGTATTATGTTTATCTTGATTTTCCTGGTGGTTTACAGACCAGCAGAGGCTTATTTCAAGGATTTATAGGTTTTTTTGACAGTTTGGTGTTCGTCAATTACATGTGAGCTAACTTTGTCAAATCGTAAAATGCTTTTACTTTTATTTTCCGAGGTTAAAATGTATTTGTACGAGGTAAACTTGAATTCTAAATATCACTGATCTTTTAAGGGGTCTGATTGGTTTGTTGGAATGTTGTTTTAGGAATTTGGAATGGAATTGAATTCCATTCTTCTTTTTATAGATCTTATTTGGTTAACCAAGAGAAAGAAAAGTTGGTAAAGGGTCTGAGGGAAAAAAAGCTGTACATTTAACATTGGGCAAACTGTATGAAAAAGTAAATTACTTTAACTTGATTCATATTTTGGGTAACGTATTTTCATAAATTCTATTTTGGTATCCAAGATGTAAAGTTTTAAACATTTAAGTATCCAGGTAACCGGTTATCATGCTGATGTGGCGAGTGATGAGATAAAATTGGGTTGAATAACAAATAATACGGAGTTGGTATCACATCACTCGTCATATCAACATGGTAATCAGTTAATGCTTCAACCGGTTACCTGAGTACTTAAATGTTTAAAACTTTACATCTTAGATTCGAAATGAAAGTTCTGAGCGTACCTTACCAAAAATAAGAATTAAGTTAAAGTACGTTACTTTTTAGCTCAATAACATTTAATTTAAATTATTTTAAAAAGAAAACGAAACTAACGAAAGAAAAGTTGTGGTTTTTTTGAGTTTGGACGTTAATTGCGCAAACGGGAATTGGAAAAAGTAATTAGAGGGGCTCCGATGGGTTGGATAGTTACTAGCTATTTTTATATTTCAATTTAATTATGATGGTTCGAAAAAATCTCAACCCAATCGATTCAAAAGTATAACTTAACCCGACCTTTACAGATTGTGAAGGGTGGAACAGCTTGGTAGTATACAAAAAATTGAGGAATGAAATACGATAAATACTACTAGAAATATATGAAATGAAATTATTAGTTACTACAATCACCCAAATATTTAATTAAATTCTTAAGTTCTAAAATCAAGTACTTCAAAAATTTGAATAATAGATGTCCGAAACTGCCTAGATCATCAATCAAGTACGATTGGTCTTTGTGTGGAAGATATCCAACTATCAGTTGTTAAACATATTTTTTGTCCGGCCTTTATTAACTCTTTCGTTAATTTAATCATCTCATCACAAAACAATAGGTAGGTATCTTTAGCAACAGTCACTCTACTGAAGACACCAAATTTAGGTTGAAACTCTTTAACAAGTTTTTTAAATCCTTCACCTTCTACAACACTCAAGGCTTTATCTCCTTCACCACAAACCTAGCCATGACTTTTTGACAATTCTCCTTATTAAATGACACCTCAATATCGTTGTCAGTATGAAAGCTAAACAAATTTTTGTTTTTTTATCTTACATCCTACCCAAGTACTTCTTATATTGAATTTTTAACCGACTCTACAAAGAACTCGTATCAATTTGCTTACTGTGATAAAAATAGTCTTTTCCACAATTACATATATATTTTAGGCTGTAACGTTCTAAATTGTATAATATATATTTAGTGACGGGTTGGACGGATTAAGCCAGACCTAACCTAATTTCAACCTTTCTAATTGACGGGTTGAGTCAGGCCTAACACAATTCCAACCTTTCTAATTTGATGATTAACGGTTTGACGGAATTCTAAAACGAAAATACATTTATGACACATTTGGTTATGGGACTGTGAGATTTGGAATCGGATTCCATTTCAATCCCATGTTTAATTTAAAAAAAAGTCTGAAATTGAAATCAATCAAATACCAAAAACATTGGGTTTAAAAATATAATAGGAATAGTTGGTATTTCACAAGATTTGTTATATTAAATATAATCACTAATTATAATAAAAACACAACTACCGTTAATAACAAAATTAAACCTCCGTTAAAACTAACTCCACTGTTTGCTACAGATCTAGAAGGCCGAACAGGTTCAGTTTCGTTTGCTGCGGAAATGTGTTGAACCGTTTGAGCCGGGCCCGTTTTCGGGGTATCACAATGATCAATACCCGAACCCGACAACGAACCCAAATCGTCACCAAACCCGTTTCGACCATCGTAACATAGTCCGAAGTTGTTTTCAAGCTTCAATTTTCTTCTCATTCTCCAAACCATTTCTTTGCCGAACGGAATTGGACCGATCAATTGGTTATCGTTCAACCGTAGCTCGCTTAGGCCGTTTAAATTGCGAAAAGTTGTCGGAATTGATCCGTTTAAACGGTTTCGGTCTAGATGGAGGACACGTAGATGTGGTAATCGGGCGATTGATTCGGGTATTGGCCCGTATAAATCTGTGTCGGATAGGATTAAGATCGTCAAGTTTTTCAACTCGTCGAATGCGGTGGACGGAATCGTTGAACTTAACGGATTGCCGTTGAGAATGAGAGCTTGGAGGGAATCGAGGTTGTTTAAGGTTGTTGGAACTGGGCCGGAGAGACTGTTGTAGCTTAAATCCATCAAGATTAGACGCGACAATTTATTGATGGAATTGGGGATTTCGCCGGAAAGGCGGTTACGGCTTAAATCGATTTTCATGAGGGAATCGCAGTTTCCGATGGAGGTCGGAATGGAACCGGTGAGGTGGTTTTGGTTGAGGTCGAGTAGAGTGAGTTGAGGAAAGGCAAGACTCGGAATCGAACCGGTTAATCTGTTGCTACTCAAATCTAACAACCTTAGATCGGTGAACCGGCTAAAAGAAACCGGAATCGTACCATTGAGATTGTTTTTGTGAAGATCAAGTACTCTTAAACCAGTTAGTTTACCGAGCCCAATAGGAATTGGGCCCACATGTCCGTTTTCCCTCAAAACAAGTGTCTGTAAATTCGGGCCCATTTGGCCCAAAAACGAGGGAATCGGCATGTCAGTAAAACACCGGTAAAAAAACAAAGTCCGAAGATGCGGTAATTTCGTGATTGAAGGCGAAATTGACGACCGGGTCGGGTCACAAGTCGGGAACGCTGTGTCGTCCGATAACGCCCCGAACGATAACGAAACCACATGAAACACATTGTTTTTGTCCGGCATACACTCGATCCCATGCCACCGACCTCGACACACATCCGGAATCTCAGTGGCCCATTCGTTTCCAGTGGCTTTCATGATGTCGTAAACCGCTTGTTGCTCGTGACGGTCGGTTCGAGCCCCGTTTTGGTTCCCGGAAAACCCGGTTTGAGGGGCATCCACGAGGGCAGACGGGACCCCCGAGTCGGACATAATAACGGTAAAGGAGAGACATTTAGGAACAAAGATTAGGATTAGGAACGATAGAAAAATTGTCATTTTTGGACACATAAAAAATATGTTGCGAGAATTTTGGGGGTTTTATAGAATTTGTAGTCAGAAAATAATAAAGGGTTTCACGAGGAAAAGAGGATGTGAAATAAATATCGGGGTAGGGCCAGGGGTACATCAGTAAATGTCCTTCACGAGATATGCACCTGGTTTTAAATTTGGGAGTAAATTACGATTTTAGCCTTTGTGGTTTGTTAACAAAATCGATTTTCAAAAATGTGATTTTAAATCTTTATGGTTTGTAATTTATTGTTATTTTTATTTCTCAACTAAATTCCTATTTTTAAGTGTAAGGGATCAAAAAAGTAAAAAATTATAAATCACAGTTTCCGAAATAACAATAAATTGTAAATCATAAGGACGGAGATAGCAGCTCCTAATTCCTATCTCGGTAGCTTCATCTTCTTCGGGGTTTCGTATGTATGTATGTATGATGTATGTATGTATGGATATATGTATGTATGCATGTATATAGTGACAAATTCGAACGAGAACACTAACTATTTGAGAAAATAAGAAAAAGTTGTTATTGTACAAAATCATATATGATTCACGTAACAAATCATACATGATCAGAACGAATTTTCCTAGCGACTTAAGTGGCTTCAAAAGTCGCCCATTTCCCTTTAATGTAAAATAACATATGATTTTGTACATTAACAACTTTTTTTTTAAATAGTTACTCTCTCTCTCTCTCTCTCTATATATATATATATATATAGAGAGAGAGAGAGAGAGAGAGAATGGATCAAACGAGAACAATATTTATTTAAAAAAACACAAAATAGACGAATCACATGTGATTTTACATTAACATCACATACAAAATCATATGTGATTCAGGCGACCTAAAGAAGCAGCAACAAGTCGCCGGGACATTTTTTTGACCGTTAATGTAAATGACATGTGATTTTGCATGTGATTTACCCGTTTTCGTGTTATTTTAAATAAACATCATTCTCGTCTGATTCTCCCCCTCTTTATATATAAGAGATGTCAAATTTACAAATTGCTTTTAAATTTTAAAAAATGCTTTAATTTATAATTTTTGAAATCGGAAAGCAAGTGATGGAAATGATTAATTCTAATGAGTGTAAAAGACCAACTAACGTGACCAACTCGACTAACCTAACTCGAAATAACTTGACCCAACAGAACTCGATGCCACTCGATATCTAATTGAGTTGTAAAATCTTCAAATCATTGGTATTATATTAGGAGCATTTGAACCCAACCCGATGAACCCACTGCCTTTTGATACCATGGATTTAACATGATTGTTAAGTTATTAATTGATATATATAATTTGCAAACATCTTTTAATATCTCTTATATAACTGTTATCTTTATTTGTATGTTTTCGTCTTGATTTTACTTCATTTAAACACAATCATTTAACTTAATTGTAAAATAATGTGCTAAAGTTTCAACTTGACCGAGCTATTCTGGTTGGGTTAGATTAAGTTGGATTGAGATTTTATAAACTGTAAAAATAAAATTGAATTGTTCAAACGCCTTCAACCCGACCAACCCAACACGTATGCAGCCCTTAACCCCCTCGAATTGGAATCAAATTAAATCTTAGTATCTCGATTCGCACGTCATTGTTATATTTATGTATTTAAGTTAGTTATTCGCCTTTACGTTGATTATCGATTTATTATTCCTAACAAATCATCGATTTCGCATCGCTAGACCCGCGTTGTCGTATTGGTTTATTCACAGATTCTCATGGGACCTTTGGGATCATTTGTTGGTTACAATATAGAAGATTGCTAAATGTTAAGTACTTACATATGAATTAAAACGGTTTATTTATTTATTTATTTATTTATTTTATAACTATGGGTGTCTAGACCAGCTTGCTGGCAAATTCCAATAGCCCTAGAGAACAGCCAAGAAAATCCTCAATTGTCTTGCATGACTTGAACCGGTGACCTTTGAGACCCAAGACTTATTGCTAGTTGAACTAATCCCGCAAAGTTGATGAAATCAAAACAAAACTTGATGAATAGGTAAGGACATGTTTGACAAACTAGCTGAAAGACCAACTTATTACTGATAATCAATATAATAATGTAAAATGACCTAAAAAGATATGTTGAAAAAATAACTGGAAAAAACCCTTGATGCTTATTGAGCCACTGATTATAGTAACTTTTCAAAAAATTAACCGAACTTTTCTTTTTAATAAGTTTTAAAAAATACGTTATCTTATGGTTGCCAAACATGACCTGAATGATATAAAACTGTAGTTCCCAATCTGGGTTCTGTAGGAATTCCCTTAAGCGTAAGCGTATTGTATTCGAGTGTATTAACAAAAAGAGGTACAACCACGAACGAGAAGTACCTCTCGAGTATAATTTTGATGGACCAATTGTTACAATATACAATAACGATCTTCTTGTTGGAAGAAGGGGAAGTTGCGATTTTAATCCTCGGAATCCGAGTAAGGCGGGCAGGATCCATCATCGACGTTGGCAAGAGGGTTATAGTCGGGAGAGCCTGGATCCGTGCAACCCGTTACCAGATCAAGTTCACAACGATCGGCCTGAACAAAATATGACATTATGGTAGGTTAATTACGACGGGTGCTCGATAATATGAAAACGTATGGATGATTCGTTAACGTACCCCTTCGCTGGTTAAGTTACCCATCAATTGACATCGGTCAATGACAATGCTCGTGTCGGGAAAGATTGCTTGTTCACACGCACCTTCTCTGCTTAACTCCTCCGCAAGACCCTGTATCATTGATTTCGGTATGTTAAATCAAATAAACAAATCCAGTATATCTCGCTTGAAAGCAAGGTCGAGGAGGGGTGGGAGTCACACATCGGTCTTTAGTACTTTCCATAAAATGTTCTCTGTGGGCCTATTTGTTAGCAGCTTAATGAGCTTAACGAGACTCACGCTTATTCAGTCAGCGATACATGACTGTTTGGTAATGGATTGATGATATAGAAAGTGGCTTATTCAGTAAGCATAAGTTTTTCCCAAACCTGTCTCTCCCAATTAAAATTAAAAAACAAGCTCTTTCCATCTACGAAAATAGCCTCCCAAACAAAAATCTTCTCAATCCGTATAGACAAATTAATCCACACTGATAACTTTATTCATACATGACTTAATTAAAAACCAACCAAACAGATTTATCATATAGAGGACTATGAAGGGGGTCAATTGACGTAAGAAACTCAGAGATCTCTTTACCTGATTGAAGAAGTCCATTTCTCTATTTCGCCATCCCTTGGGCACTTGAAACTGCAGTCTATAAGGACCATCCCATTGACTCCCGTTTGTGAACGAAAATATCAAGTTCACAGCTGCAATAACAATTAAGATCAAAATGGACGAAAGGGAACATAATTCCAGGCACTATAACATCATGGTCATTGGCCCAGTATCCAGATTACCAGTAAAGCCTAACCTCCTAGAAAGTCAAGGATCCAAACCTCACCAAATGTCAGGAGTGTGCATAAGGATTTTCCCTATATAAATATTATATACTTCAAAAGAAAAATACGTACCATGTTTAGGAACACATATTTGGATGGTGTAAATAGGAGGGTCGGCTTTGCCACGATCTTTACGTAGCATCGCTCTTGGCTCACCACCACACATGATGGGTTGATTAAAACCACCTGCAGAATTACAATTCAATCAACAGATTCCTTGAAGTAACTAATGAGTAATATAGACATCTTGGTCATTTTGGGGTAGTTAGTAAGGTATGTGTCTGTTTGTCAGCAGCTTAATGAGCTTAATGGAACTCACAGCTTATTCGGTCAACTTTACATGACTGTTTCATAGTGGCTTAATGATATAGAAAGTGTAATTCAGTAAGCTTCTAGAGAGGAGCTTTATGCAGAAAGCTAAGTTTTTTCAAACTTGCACCCCCAATTAAGAAACACGCTCATTCCATCTATAAAAAAGCTTCCACAAACAAAAATCTTCCCAATCCATACAGGCTGATTAATCATTAATCAAAACAGACAACTTTATCCACACAGTTTTTAATGGAAAACCAACTAAACATCCCCTAAAGGTCTTTTTAACCAACCAAAACAAACAAGACGGGTATATCCCACTTGGATGTGGGGTTTGGAGAGGATGAAATGTATGCAAACCTAACCTCTACCCAGAAAGAGTGTGGCGGTTGTTCCCGACTTCTATCAAGAAGTATACATACTCAAAAAGTTTGTGATGAACAAAGTACCGTTAAAAGCAATCCCGAATTCTTTACTTGGAGCAAGTTTGCTAGCGGTCGGATTGTAAAATAGCTTCAGCCTCTCTCCCTGCGAATTTGACATAAAGATTGATGATTTAGCATTGAAAACACAAGGCAAAACTAGAAAATCAACATGAATCCATAAACTTACAGAACTAGGAGGAAGGCCATTCATTGTTTTCCAGTAAACTGGGGCTCGCCCTATGTCGAATTCAGCCCATGAGGGAAGCACAAATCTGGAAAAATAAAGATAACATATCTGTAACAACCCATCCCACATGGACTAAAACTAGATCTGTGAGCAACTTATAAGCTTTTACTATAGTTTTAAGTTGATTTGTAGGCTATTACCCTGTCACTAGGTATTATTAGGGTATGTGAAACCCCTTTGAATCCGTCCCTAACAGGCCATTGTATATATAAGGGAGGATCCGAGATTTATATATACAGATTTGATGGTCTCTTTCTAAGAGCCCTTGTATATACAAGGGAGGTTCCTACACACACACATGTATAGATGGTCTGCACATGTACTTACAAGTTACAAATAATTTGTAAGCAATTTATCCGGTATGCACATGTGCATAACATGCACATGTGCATAAAAACCAAGAAACTGCTTCAATTACTTGTATGCACATGTGGAAACTTAAAACATGTAAAGATAGTGGAAACATACTCTTTAACTTCTTCAGCAGGAGGGGATTCTGTGACAGCAGCAGCCCTGATCTTCCCACTTATCTTAATTGGATTCCTCCATTTTTGATTTTCTTGTATGGGAGAACCCATGAAACTTTTGCTTCCTGTAAATATTACCAACATTACCTCACTGTTTGGTATGCAGTTCTCTTTCATATAAGTGTTCTTGGAACAAGAATTCAAGACTTGAACATTAAACCCTTTTGCTCATATCTTGCACTAATTATTTTAACAACCCGTCCCACATGTATAGAAAAGTAGATTCGTGAGCTCCTTATTAATTCAAAGTTATAGGCTACCAATAACTTTCACCATGATTTTAAGTCGAATTCCAATATGTTACTTTGGTTTTGGGGTGTTACAATTATGCTCTTGATTCCAATATCAAATCATTGAAATTTGGGTTCCAAATTACACAGTAAAAACATCAAAATCGAAGAGGTAAGTAAATAAGAAAGAAATTAACAGCATACCATGAGAATTGGCGATGAAAGGACTGAAATTTGTACTAGATGCAGTACGAGAAGTTGATACGATTTGTGTCCATGACTGGAAGATTGGAGCACTTGTTGTAGCCATTTTCACAAACAGGTGGTGCGCATCATTCGCGTTTTAAAAGGATAACAATTGGGATCGAACTAAAAAACAAAATTTTGAACAAATATCTACAGATTTCAATGTGAAAATGGCGAACCAAAATTTCCAAATTTTTTTGTGGATGTTATTTGATATCTCAAATGATGAAATTTCCAATTCACGCACAAAATGCCAACACCTACAAGATGTCTAAAGCAGATTTTTTTGCTAACTGTCACAATCCGACTTTTAACCGTTTATCTATGGGTTCATTCGGTATACAGAGTAAGAGGCCGTTTAACAAACGTTTTAACCGAATAAGTGATTAAGTCACGTTATGTCACTGGATGAATATGATAAATGACCGAGAATCTTGTCCGGTAAGAACAAAACAAGAATCGTCTTACCCGGTAAGTGTGGGCGATGTAGTAAGCACTTACCTAGTAAATTATTGTATATGATGTTGTTCTACTAAAATTTTACCCGTAAATAATAGTGTTAAATTTTACCGGTAAGCACTTATCGGGTAAGTTTTTGGTAAACGACCCATAAATTATATTTTTAGTCTGAAAATTGTTATTTTTGTCCCTATATTTTTTAAAACGCCGTCTTTGTATTTTTGAAATTACGATGTCATTTTTACAGCATTTTTAACAGTTTTTCTATAATAGAGAAAAATGAGATTTTGTTCTTTAAAATGCTTCAACAGCTTTTCTATCTTATTCTCTAAAATAGGAAATCATGAAGAAAACTCTAAATAAAACGAATTCTCTAAAACTCGAAAGAAATGAGAGAAAAATGAATTTTTTTATTTAATACACCAATACGAGTTGAATTAATATCATTTTATATAAAGTATTTTTAAAAATTGTATTGAGATTATAAAATTATAGAATATTTAATATAATATAATTAATGATGAAATCTCTGAAATAAAAGAATCGTTAATATGTCGAGTTGAGCTCGAGTTCGAACCGAGCTTATTTGAATCGAGTATTGACCGAGCTTTGATCGAGTCGATCTTAAGTAACTTGCGAATTGGGGCACCTTCTCATAAGCCATAGGTTGTCATAATTATTGAGAATTTTCTTGACTATCATATTGAGGACCAATAAAATTAGTAAAAGTAAATATCTAGGATTACCAAATAAAGAAATGTAATATTTGAGATGAGTATAATCTACGTACATAATAACCATAACAAGTATGATGACACAAATATGGACCCTCATAGCCCAACCCAAGGATTTTGGGTTTAGGACTTGCTATTGGGCTCAACAACCAACCTTCTTTTGTATATATATATATATATATATATATATATATATATATATNATATATATATATATATATATATATATATATATATATATGAATCGGGCAAGCCAGTGTGAAATCAAAGTCAAGTTATTCGTACTGGTTTCTCATGTGGAACCATAGACCACTCATGTCTACTTCTAATGCGCACGAAACCAAAGCTAGAATAAGACATAAAAGATGAATGAATGAAAACCATCACCTTTGCATCCAAACACGTCAGGCCCTCTTGGCCACCCACAACCTTGGCTGACTTAGTCTCGATGAGAGCCYAGGCGAGTCTCGTGTGTGATAGTTTTATAGGATATAGTTCCTTTCCTGGTCTGGGTTAGACCTTTGCTCTGAGTGGTTGGTCGAACACGCATTTTGTGCAGGAGAGGAGGGTTCCACATTCACTTGCTTCACCGCTTCGTCTGTCTCTAAGTGTCGTGTTGTTTTCCAATGTCTTTATCCATAATTGTTTGAACAATAACAAACAGTTTACTAGCGGATCTCCTCCACTAACCACAAATTTTTAAATATTAAAAATGAAAGATCAATATTAAAAAATAAAAAATCACAAGATCAATATTAAAAATGCAAAAATCATGAGACTTTTAGAGTAAAATGAGAATCACAAGTACGATTTCTAGACTAATCAAAATTTAGTTCTCACTTTCAAAGATTTCACTAAACCTTATGGACCAAAAATTAGAGTTTACTCTATTTAATAATATGGTTAAATCTAAAAATATTCATTATTTAACTTATTTTTGAAGGTATTAACAAGACGATTATAAATATACAATTTGGAAAAAGAAAATTGTATTTTTTGATATATTTAGTTAATATACGACTTATGTATCTTAATATGATCAATATGTAAAAAAAAATGAAAAAAATAAATAAATAAATGATATAAAGTAAATTAAATAACTAATTATAAAAAAATAAAATGTAGTGGCCTAGTGTTGGAGAACTACACATGGGATACATGTTTTTTCTCACTTTCTTTCTCAATTTTGCCATAAGAATCATTTTTTTTATTAACCTCGATATTCAACCCATTATACGAGTCGACTAATTTTAGGACGACCACCTATTTTGTAGATAGCTCGAAGTTATTGCATTTGAACCTCCGTGGCCACAAAGGCCATAACAATCAATTGAGAACTATGTTTATGGAGCTTTAAAAGTTTAGATTCGGGTGGAGGGTGGTTGGTTTGCTTACGGATAGATCTAGGATCATTAAGCTCCATGAGTAGCCTCATATGCTGCTGTATGGCCATGGGTGATGTGGGACCCTAGATTGGATAAGCTCAAAATATATTATTTGTTTTGGAGATCGAGTCAAATAACTAATATCTTTAATCAAATTCAATCTTTAGCCATTTTTTCAATCGGGTTTTTATTTAACTGAATGAAGTATTATCAATTGACAAGGAAGTGCTTGCGCCTTTAGGAATCTTGTGCTAAGGCCGGGAGATTTGGCTTGCTAGAAACGCATCTGTTCATGATTCAGTTGCTATGTTTTCGTAAACTCGATTTTTAAATTAAAAAAAAAAGAAAAAAAATCCGTACTCAAATTTGCATAAGGATTCACATTTGTGTAAAGAATTTGTGTAATTCTTTTTTTTTTTTAATCTTAAAATAGACTTTACACAAATACGTAAGACATTTGTGTAAACTTTAGCTAAAATGAAAGTTTGGTTTCAAAAGTGACTAAAAATAGTGAACTTAATAATTAATTTCACATTTGTTTTTTCAATTTTTACTTTTTTTTGATTAACCTAAATATCCAACCCAGTATAGGAGCAGACTAATCCCAGGGCGACCACCTGTTTTTCAGATAGCCCGGAGTCACAAGATTTTTATCAGTAAGCATTTATGTCAGTCGGATGTTTTACCTCAATCAGACCTCTTACCCTAGTAAGTATTTATCAACAAATTTCAGAAAACAACCTTTTAATCATTTTAACATTCTCGACCAACGTTTCACCAAATTTGGATGGAAGAACATGAATCATCAGCTAAGTCTTCGAATCCAAGATTGAACCTCTGATCAAATCCTTTTTTCTTGTGATTTTGTAATTTTGAAAGTATTGAATAATAATATGATTTTTGTATGAGTGCGTTCTTGCTTGAGATTTGTCACGTTGTAGTTTCGTAGTACTGATTAACTTTTCGAAATATATGCAATTATGCATAACACCTTTTTGGACATTAGTTTCTGCTGCATGGTTTTTAAATATTATCTGCATTGTATTTGTACATAATATGTTCATGAACAAGGTCGTGTAGTTAACATTTGCTAGAGTTAATAACTTGATTGTGATGGAATAGACATTTTAAGGCCACCAAAAAAACTATTTGACAATAAATGTGAACATTAAAGAAATTTCACAACCGATTTACGTAATATCACTTCAAAAACGCTATTCTCATGTTCAAATTCAACTTAAAACCGTCAACTTTATCAACTCAAAGAATGAGTATTTTCATGAGCAATTAAGGTGCACAAACATCGTGATCGCAATTAATATGTGTCATGTGTTTGTTTGATTCTCTGCAACTAGAAACGGTTTTCTTTAATGAATTAAATTAAAAAATTAAGACTTTTTAAAAGCGAAGAAATAACAAAACCTACTGTTTGATTTTATAAAAAACAAAAGACCATAAATTATAGCGATATGAATGTTAATTAGTCCCCACGACATGATAGTTTTTAAAATCAATAGGTCTTCGTACTCGTGGATACTATGCCACTTCCACCTAACCTAGCATGCACCACGAGGGGTGGTATTTTCGAGTTCTATTTCACACATATATAGTTTATCAGGTATCGTTGATAAGGACTTTTAGCATACTTAATAATAGAATATGACATCGTTCATGACCTTTATTGGGCCCATAATATCTTAAACGATATCCCATGTAACAAAAATTGCCGAATAAAATAGATCGAACAGAAATTCCCTCTCTATTACAATTAACAAAATGTTGTTTACATGCTCAAATATGATCACGAATATGATTCATGGATGCATAAACCCGATGAAACAACTTGGTATTTATAGAAAACAAAACGGTCACATTTCTTCAACCATCATCTTTCCAAAATGACGATTCATGATTCTTTGATAAGCATAAATGGAAAAAAAACTAGTTTTGCTTCACAATTTTCAATAATTACATCTACAAACTTTTGTTTTTTTGTATACCAAATTGCATATTTAAAGAAAAAAAAGAAGATATAATGAAATGGAACCACAAAGAATCAACAATACACTCTCCATGGTATCTTCTAAAGCAATCCACTCTTTTATTTTATTTTTATAAATCCATTTATTTACCAATTAATAATCATTTTAAAATATTTAATAACCCTTATAAGATATATATATATATATATATATATATATATCTGTAGTCAAAGTATTCATTAATGCACTCATACATGCATATATTGATGCATGCATACATTGATGGTGGGAAATACAATGTTTCTAGGGTTTCTATTTATACCAATTCGAATAATCAATTTCAACATAACTTGATTAACCCCCCTGGATACTAGGCTGAGTCATATCACTTGCAATGTATCCCATCTTTCCTTTAATAAACAACCACAAATGGAGGTTTCGCCATGCTACTATCCCTTCCGACCATACTCATCAAAACAAGACCACGACACCACGCGAAACACCTTTGCAGTTGGAGAAGGGATGGTTTTGGTTCCGGAAATGGGATTCAGAAGACATGGCTAGCATTTCTTGGTTCACCATGATACATGTGTTGGCTGCCATCGCACCTTTTGTGTTTGATATGGGCGCAATCTTGTTGGCTCTAGTCTTGGCTATCTTGACCGGAATCGGTGTGACCCTAGGTTATCATAGACTTCTGTGCCACCACAGTTTCAAGATCCCCAAATGGCTTGAGTATTTCTTCGTTTATTGTGGTGCTCATGCCTTCCAGGTACCATAATTGAGTATTTGAAACCCTCATAGGTGCCTATATATATATATATATATATATATATATATATGCAGTTTTATCACCCATATATAACTTCTTAATAGTTGCTTTTCTAAATTAAAATCGCAGAGAGATCCAATGTTTTATGTGAACACACACAAGAGCCACCACAAGTATACGGATACAGATAGGGATCCTGTTGCCCCATCCCACGGTTTTTGGTACTGTAATATGGGCTGGTTCTTCAACAACGATCACATTGCTGCACAGGTGATTAATTACCAGCTGCATTATATGTATATATACTATTTACATGATATTTGTATCTTCAGTTGTTAATTAACTCATCATGGATCATCTTTGATATTGAATTGATGAAATATAACAGTGTGGAGAATCAAGAGGTGGAGAATACTCGAAAGTACGAGAGCTGAAGGCGCAATGGTTTTATAGGTTTCTTCATTATACATACTTTTGGCATCCAACTGCACTTGCAGCCCTACTATATCTACATGGAGGCTTTTCCTACTTGGCTTGGGGAATGGTATATATGCATATACACACGCGCGCACACACACACCCTTTCGGTTGATCTCTTAAGTTCTATTAAGAGAATCATATGTGTAATTCATTCAGGGCATGCGTGGAGTGGTGGTTCATCAATTCGCCTCCCTTGCAACCTATGTCAGCCATATATGGGGCGAGAGGCCATGGAACAGCCCCGATACTTCCACCAATAACTGGTATGTTTGCTCCAACACTCTTAACATAGCGAGTACATATAGGTTGTGCCACAGTAAAATTTAAGATAACATATTATATAATCATCTGATATTTATAATATAGGTGGGTGGCCATATTAACTCTAGGAGAGGGTTGGCATAACAATCACCATGCTTTCCCAAGATCTGCTCGACATGGACTGGAACGGTGGCAATTTGACTTCACATGGGAATTGATCAAGTTTCTTGAATTGGTTGGATTGGCAACAGATATTAAATTACCAAGTGAGACCCAAAAAAGAAGAACTGAATTGCGTTGGGCCAGCTCGAACTCGAAAGAGAAAACTGATAGTAACGTTGAACGAAAAGAATGAAACCTTCAAGAACTTTGACGAGGCATACTATGTATGCAGAGAATTAGAGTTCGTTTCATGTTCGATGATGTCAAGAAGGTATTATAGCAGTTGGTAATAAATGGGTTATGTGCAAGGCCACTTCAAACCCATAAACAAAGTGGAGTCTAATTGTACACTAAGTAGAAATATCGATGTTTGTATGTTTGTGTAGTCTTATGTAAGAGCTTTGTTTTGATATATCACATGTCTAAAATAAAATTGGATGAATGTAAAATTGATCATCAAAATTGTTGAGTTTGAGATGACGAAAGAGATTTATACTAATTAAACTAAGAAAACCAAAAACAAGAAGAAAACTTGGATTGTTGATATTCCCTACTCTGTAGATGTTTGAATCGGTTCGGTTCCATACATTGTATACTTTTATTGGATATACATTGGATCAAATTGGATTCTTGCAAATGTTAATCGGATCCAAACATCCAATGGATGAACGGATCGGATCCATCTAATGTTCTACATCCAATTCACATAATATTCCAACTCACATAATCTACATTGAATTTTAGAGATTTTCTGTATATTTGGAGATTTCCACATATTGAACAACAAGTAGTAATGAGATATAGCATACATTGAACAGAAAGTATACATTGAATAACAAGTAATGAGATTTTCTCCATATTTGGAGATTTCCACAAAAAGGATGGCCTTGATTATACATCGAACATCAAGTAATTAGATTAGAAGTAGGTCTAAACAAAATACTTACTGAGCTTGAAATAGAATCCATGTTTGAGATTGAAAATCAAAAGGCAAATCTTGGTGGAGCTGTGGAGACCGAAAATCTGAGAGGGAGTGATGGATAGGACTAGAAAAGTGGTACAATCGGTCCATGGACCGGTAGCGAGAAAATTGGTCGCTAGGAAGCAGCAACCACTCCTCATTTTGGAACCGTTCCTTGTAGCAAAATTGATATGACAGATGTTCATGACCACATATGTTCTAACCAAAAGAACAACTATCAAGATTTAAACCCCGCACACACTGCACCAAGAAGCGTGCGGAAGGCCACATGAGTACTGAATCGGAGGGCTGAGAGTAAGAACCGCAGGGACCATTTACGCGTGAGGGTAGAGCCGCATGAAAACCCGTGTGAGCCACTGTCAAGAGATGAATCACACTGGCTGGGCCGACTAGTCGGGCGACTTAAGTTCCAGGGTTAGCTAACCGACTGGATTCTCCAAAAACTTTGGGTGACTAAGGTCGAACCTGGTCTGCCTGTTGAGGATTGGAGGCAATACTAAACAATGTGAAACCAGAATAATTACTTGCGGTTGAAGTTTATCTGTCGACCGTTATTTTCTTACGAACCAAATGGTCCTAATGCGCAATTTACAATTATCTTCTGGTCCACAATATTGACTTCTTTCGATCCATTCCAATAACATACTTGGAAGATGAAGATCAGTTACAATCACCACTTGACATTGTATTCATCAGGTGTGTTCTATTGTGGGTTCCATCCGCCATTAATTTTTCATTAAATTATATAAAGAAAAAACAATGCATACATTGTTTCTCTATAAGTTGAGCACAAAATATTGTGATATACACTTCCAGTTAATAATTGAAAATTGCCAGCCCTCATAGGCATGTCACTCTTGCCACTTACGATCTACCCCAACTTTCCGATCACAAACAACCACAAATGGAGGATCCGCCAAGCTAACATCCGTTCTCATGATCGTAGTTGCCGTCTAAAGAAGAACAAAACGTCGTGGTTGATTTCCAATGGCATCACCTCGTTAACCAAACCCGTTGTACCATCACGTACCCTTCTGAACGAAAGATCAGACTATGTAACTGGGGAAACGGCTGAGGCAACGTCGGAGTTGGAGAAGCAGCGAAACGAAGTGTTTTGGTTACGGGAATGGGATTCGATAGACATTACCAACCTTTGCTGGTTCACGGGGATTCATGTTTTGGGAGCTTCTGCACCTTTCATGTTCGATTGGGGAATGGTATGGAACTGCTCAATATATATGCTTACATGTTTGATTTAAGTTTTGCTAAAAGTAATCATTTCGCATATCGTGGTTATCACCCAGGGAATGCGAACGGTGACCGCTTTGCACATCACGTTTTTGGTACGCTCGGTCAACCATTTATACATATACTTATATATAATGTGATTGATGAAACAGGTTTTCAGGGATGCTAGCTAGTTCTTGGAGACGGTGGCATAACAATCATCACGCTTTTCCCAAATCGGCTCAACATGGGTTTTGGACTTGACATGGCAGATGATCAAGTTTCTTGAGATGGTTGGATTGGCTACGGATGTTAAGTTGCCTACTGAGACTGACAAAAGAAGAATAGCTATACGAGACCAGAGCTATCATTCGCTTCATACATGCATGCATGTGGTGTGGATCATTCAAAGACAATAATTGAGCACCAAACAATATCAAGTTATGAGTTAGCTACACAATAGATGATGAAAGAGATTGATGATCCGTACTCTCTCGAAACGAACATACAACCTGTTTGATAATTAATATATGTATCACATGGATTAAGGAGAGAAATGATACTAATTTACCTAAAACCCTCTTTTGAGACGAGAGAAGCTTTTGCATACATCGTCTTGTATATAAATGGAGGTGGCTTATCCGTTATTATACAATCCTTTACGTTCCTACAACTCCTATAATTAAATTAGAAGTATCCATTTGATTATCAACGATTATTATTTGATCGGTTGTAACTATCCTTGATTAAAAAAAAAAAAAAAAGAAAAAAAAATGGATGGTGGTCGATAGATGGATTGCATCGGTTGTATATAATCTAGAGGGATTATATTCGAACGCCCCTCTATATAAATATTATTATATATATATACTATAGGGTAGGTTCGTGAAAGGTGCAACCGCATAAATTTGTTGTATCCAACCATATATATTCTGAAACTACAATGAAAGCAAATTTTATTTGGTAGAGTTGGTTTGCAAGATTTTTATTCCACTCCAAACCTAAGTTTGAATCCCGTTAGTATCATTTTCTTAGTCAAATGATGCTACCGTTTGGAAAAAATTTCCTATATTTTTTTATTACAATTAAATGGTGCCATAGTACAAGGGTTTGAAAGTTCACTAGGCTCAATGTCACTTTTCCAAAGTTAAAGAACATATTTGAAATTTTAGCAATTTTTTTTTTGGTACTTTTAGTCTCTTGTTTGTAAAATTTCTTTCACTTTGATCATGCATTTTCCTAATTCGAGATGTTACAAATAAAATCACTAATTTTCTTTTTTGTTTTCTATAATTTTGAATCATACATATAGTTTCATTGGTTCGTAACTTTTATGCACTTGTGCATGTTATGCAAATATACATACCGGACAAATTATTGCTTATGAAATACTTGTATGCACATGTGCATACTATCCAGATGAACGATTACCAAAATGTTCCTTATTATTTCATTTTTTTTGTGGTTTTCCCCTGGAACTGACCCTATACATATATAAAGAAAATCCTAGTCCTTTAGATCATCTTCAACAACTATGTTGAAATAGAGATTTTCAAGAATTCTTGCTACAACAACTATACTATATCGTATGCCAAAAACATGAAAGAGAGGGTGGAAGTCTCCAAATTTGGGGGTGTTTGGTTTGATGCAATGATTTTGAGGGATTTGGAATCGAAGGAATTTGAATGCGGAAAGATTTCGTATCTTAAAAAACTAACTTCTAAAGTGATGAATCTCGAAAAACAGAAAGCAAAAAGTTGAACAAAAATATCCAAGAAATTACAGAAAAGAGTAGGAATAATGTATCAAGATTGCAACTTTGTCATCAATGTTTTGCAATTTTAAAGATGGTCCAAAATCATTAAATTCTGTATTGAATTGGGTTTCTTTTTCTTCATGTGATTGTAATTAACAATGGAGTTGTACTTGGGAGATAATGTGTTGATCAGTCATTTCCTTTTCATGCTTCAATGCCCAACCCACAGTTCGTACTTTTGAGATAAGGTTTTGAGTTTCTTTGTCTGATCCAAGATCAAGAATTAACTTTTCACCAGGGGTTTTTCATCATAAATCACCATCAACTCATACAAAGAGCTAAACCCAACAAGATTTATAGCAGTATTTGGTTTGTAAAATGTAATTTGTTGGAAGTGGAATCCATCAAAGAAATTGAAATGAAATTTGGCCATCATATCCTAGTGGTGGTGGCGGCGGCAACATTGGCGGGGTGGCCGTGGTGTCGGTGGCAACAACGGCAGTGCCAACAATGGCAGTGGCAGTAGCAGTGGCAATGGTGGAGCAGTGGTGGGGCCAGGGATGGCGACATGAGCGGTGATGGTAGTTCTGTGATTATGAAAAAACGGGTAGCATGGATTTGAATTCCATGACACATGAATTGATAACAAATGTAGAATTCAATTTCATTCCAGATGCAAATCAAACAAGGTGAATTTAACTCAATTCAATTCCATTTCACATGTCAACATAATTTATTATTTCAATTTCTTCAGATTCCATAAAAATCGTATAAATCAGACGACTCAAAATCATGTTGTAATTCAATTTTTGTTTTGGTTTTCTCAAATTTAAATATTCTTTTTTATATTTGATCAATGGTTTCAATCCTAATAAATTTGGATTGATTAAACAATAAGAATAACTAAACAAACATACTTGTTTATTTGAGTAAATAAACATTAAAACAAAAACGATACTTGAATATGTTTGAACCACAAGGGTGGTGCTTGATTGGTTTGAGCTTGATCCCAAATGTCAAAAGTACCAGGAGATCTCATGTTCAAATTCAAAGAGGAATAAAAATTTCCTTGTGGCCACGAATGTTCAAATACGGTGATTCCAAGCTATCTGCAAATCAGGTGGTCGCCTTAAAATTAATCGGCTCGCATAACAAGTTGGATATCAAAGTTAATAAAAAAAAACTTAAAATATGTGATTGAAAGCATTTAAAACTCCCATCTTCTACAAGTGTTTCCATGTCCTCAGAATCAAGGACTAGTCATTATGAAACTCAACAAACTACTTCATTCACCCACCACTTTGTCATGGATGACATCATATCACTCATTACAATAAGATTAGATTTATAGGACATATGAATATATAACAGTTTTAAAAGACTACTTAATTATATGACTTAAGTTTATAGGATCAAATGTATACATGTTTATAAAAGAGCATTGCAATATGTTTGTAAGATACTTTTTGACGTTGTAGATCGTTTTTTTTAATATACTTTTGAAATAAAACATCATGTAAAAATTTCTATATGACATTATTTGAAAACTATTATATAAAACAATGTGTTTATAAGACACAGCTCAAAAGTGTCCTATAAAAAAAATTAATATGACGCTTTATTTTAAAAGTGTCAAAAAACTAGCAATATAACAAAATTGAGCTTATAGAACGCGTAAATTGTTTAAGTGTCTGAATAGAAGGCCACATGGGACTTAAGCCTATAGAAATAAAAAACAAAACTTTATATGTAAAAGTGTTACAATAAGTTTACATGACCTTTTTTTGGGTCGTAATAAGTTTTGTAGAACATTTTTCAAAATAAAACGTCATATTAGCTATTTTGTAGAACACTAAGAAACGTATAAAAGGACGGTTTATAGGAGACTTCACAAAAGTGTCCTATAAACTAGTTAATAAGAAACTTTATTCCAAAAAGTCCTAAAAGCTTTATTATGATGCCTAATAGCGTCATATAAACTTATTGTAACATTCTAGACGTCCTATAAGACACTTTATTAGGACATAAAAACGCTATATAAACGTCCTATAAATCCAGTCTTGTTGTAGTGTATTTATGACATCAAAAAGTGTCTTATAAACCACTTAGAGATCTGTAATGATCTATAAAGCCGATTTTATTTTTGTGAGGCGTTGGGACAAAAACAACACAATGGTTTCAAAGCTAAGAAAATATTGAATACTATTTAACCACAACCAAATATGTGACGTCAACCAATAACCTATCAAAAAATAAAACATGATTGAAAGCACACATTAAACACAATGAACATTCAAATAATTAATCAAAGGAAGAGAATAAACTTTTATTAATGACAAACACCTGAACACCGAAGAAAATTACAAACTGAAAGCGTAAAGTTGTATTTAATCTCACTCTAAAACTAGGCTTTGTTGCCCCTCAAACTCATATCTCTAGATTGGAACCCACAGATTGATATTTGTACTAAGCATATCAAATAAATCCACGTCGATTCAAATGCTAAGAACTTGAACTTTCGTACATAGACGGCCATGCTTGATTAAAAGGTATGGTCGTGCTAGGAAACAAATTTTTGTTTGCGAAATCATATTGCTCATGTCCGTATTTGATTATGCGACCATTATTGATGCACTATTATTTAGTATTCTCACAATTTTATGGATTCTTATTTGACTAGGCCATATATATATATATATATATATATATATAGGGTTGGGTTTACATGAGACGAGCATGTTTTTGTGAGACCCGTAAGACAATTTTTTTACACTTAAAACTTCACAGCAAAATGTTGTGAAGGTAAAAAAAACCGAACATTCACAACAAAAGCACTCTAAAGAAGGTTACCTTCAGAGTGTTTTGTTGTGAAGTTTCAAATGTAAAAAAATGGTCTCACGGATCTCATAAAAACAGGTTGATCTCATGTGATTCCAAATATATATATATATATATATATATATATTAATTAATTAAATGAACGAAAATTGGTATCGTACTCTAATATTCCTGATGAAAATTGTAAGGTTGGTTTTTTTCCATTAAATCCTATCAATTAAGTTGCTTGCTTGGATTTGTTTGTCTGTATGGATTATTAAAGTTTCGACATAGGTGGAATGAACGTCTTTCTTAATTGGGAGGGACATGTTTAGAAACAACTTGACTTTCTGAATAAAATCCCCCCTCTAGAAATTCACTGAATAAGCCAATTTTTGCATCATTAAGCCATTACATGTATAATTGAATGAATAAGTTGTGAGTCCCCAGTAAACTCAATAAATTGCTAACAAAGATACCTTATAATTAGGCATAAATTATTAGAATTTGGGATTTGAATATCATTTGAGGACCGGATAATCTCGTTGGATCGTGAATGTTCATTTCTTAAATAGAACAATTTGTCCCTTATAGTGTTGGGTATCACAAATTTCATATTGGGATAATCCAAGAGAAATTATCATCTCACAGGCTATGAGATCGAGTTCTTATATACATTCAAATTCTCAATTACATATTTATATGAGAGACTGATGGTTACAAACAGTTAAAACGATTATAACCATTAGTGGATAAGATTTGGGAGCAGTTGAAACTACATCAAGATTAGAAACGAACGTCTAGAGTTCCACAGTCCAAAACTTGATTCCATGGTTCGAAGTTCCGACTTAGTCAAATTTCTACCAATTTCGGGAACAATTTCAATAAGGTTTCCAACCTTCTGAAATTCGTCCAGATCATTCCAAAACTAAAATTCTCCAAATCTAACCTTCTGATTGATTAGCGGAACCACCACCAGGGCAGGACTCCGCTAGGGCAGCTGCCCCTAGGACCCCGCAAGGGGCCACAACCTTTTAAATGGAAACTTTTATTAATTTACCGTTATATATTAATGATACTTTTGAAGGATCATACAACGTTTATTTAATACAATGAAGCTTTATTTTAACAGTTTATTATTAGAAGGTTGGAAACCTTATTGACGTTGTGACGGACCCATTTAGTACGTAATGTGTGTGCATTAAACTTCAATGCTTACGTACACACCTTCTTCAACCACTTTTTTTCACCAATGTTTTCACATCAATTATTTTTATGTTAAATCATGTACAAGGTATAGATTGAGTAGATTCAGGCATTCAAAGGGTTAGGTGAGCAGGAAAGAAAATAACAAGGACAAATTGAATATTCCTGAAATTCATATAAATAGTAAATAATACTGAACTGGATATCACATCACTTGCCACATCAACAAGATAACCGGTTAATGCTTCAACCGGTTACCCGGATACTTAAATGTTCAAAACTTTACATCTTAGGTACCAAAATGAAAGTTTTGAAAGTACGTTATCCAAAATATGAATCAAGTTAAAGTACGTACGTTACTTTTTCATGCAATTTGCTCAATTAAATAATTATATATTTTTATAAGATTAATGAACCATATTTTAATTTGAAAATTTTGAGATGTACATGCTTAGAGGCAATAGACAAACAACAGTATATATGATTTTCAAACCTTGAATATGTAACTATAAACCAAGATAATTTGATTATACAAACCAAGTTTGATAATAGTCAAAACTGACAAAAGTCAATTAGCATATCTCGGTTTAATGGCAATCCGAAAATTTCAACTTAGAGATACCTACCATAACAGATATGAACCGAGTATGCAAAAATGGTGCATGACATATACGTGTATATCAACTGATACACGTAGTTCTACCTAAAACTTTACAAAAAATTAAAATAATGAATTCATGGACTTAGAGGTAAAACCATTATAAAAAATATTCTATTAAGTTTTTTTTAGTATGAAATACTTTGAGGTTGCAATGATTTTAAAAGATTATTTTATATCTTAAATATAAAAATTCTTGTACTTCATTACATACAACCACCATGTAACCCCCCCCCCCCCCCCTTCTCTCTAACCCATGAGACACTTTGTCCTTATAAATACATACACTTATACATACAACAAACCCCAAAATCTTACTCACATTCTATTTACAATTCGAAGATGAGAAATTTGGTCACTGTTTCCAATGGTACGAAGGAGTCGGAGTATAAGAAAATATTACTCTCAAATGTGATGGTTACAAGGAAGAGAAACCTCTTTTGGGGACGTAAATGGAGGACCCTCGACATTAAAATGGGTGTATGGATTCTTGCTATCCATTTACTGGCTCTTTTTGCACCATTTACGTTCACTTGGGATGCTTTATGGGCTGCATTTGGGAGCTACTTGTTGTTTGGGATTTTTGGTATAACTCTGGGATATCATCGTATTCTAGCACACCACAGTGTCAAGTTGCCCAAGTGGCTCGAGTACATATTTGCTTATATTGGAGTCTTATCTATGCAGGTTTGTTTTTGTGTCTTTCATGCATGTGCTCTTTAGTTACTCAAATGAAAGTATATAGATCGCAATGTAAATTATGTTTTCGTCCTTGTGGTTTCTGAAAATTGTGGATTTCGTCCATTTGGTTCTGAAATTGCAATTTTCATTCTTATGGTTTGCAATTCATTGTTATTTTCATCCTTAAGGCTAACTTCTACCTTTTAGTACGAGGGACTGAAATAACAATGAGTTGTAAACCAAAAGGACGAAACAAACAATAAACTTTAAATCATAAGAACGAAAACAACAATAATTTGTAAACAATGGGTATGAAAATCACAATTTCAAAATCACAGGGAAGAAAAGTGTAATTCACCCTAAACTGTATTTATTTGTATACAGAGGGATCCAATATTTTGGGTGAGCATGCATAGATATCACCATCAATACGTTGAATCCGAGAAAGATCCACACTCTCCCACCTTTGGATTTTGGTTTAGTCATATGGGATGGCTCTTCGATAGCGGCTATATTATTGAGAAGGTACTACTACGTATATCCATATTTAAAAAATAAGTTACTTTCGGCTAATATTCTCATCTATGTTGATCGTTTGGTTTTGCAGTATCAAGAACGTAAAAATGTAGAAGATTTAAAGAGTCAGATATTCTATAAGTTCGTTCAAAGAACTTATGTATTGCATATATCTACATTTACGGCCCTCATTTATGCTGTAGGTGGATTTACCTACCTTGTTTGGATTGTGGTACGACTTTTCTTAATTATATTTTCAACATTGTATGAAAAAGGCAATCTAATAGTTATTATACAACGTTTCAGTGTCAAATATGTATCGGTGAATTTATTCAACTATGGGTGAATATGTAGGGTGTCGGAGGCACATGGGGTTACCATGTGACGTTTTTAGTGAATTCAGCTTGTCATATATGGGGAAATCAAATATGGGACACCGGTGACCTCTCCAAGAATAACTGGTTTGCACTTATATGAATAAAACAATTATAACTCAATCTGTTAAGAAATATTTAATATCTGATAATTATTCAAATTTGATACGTTTATAGGTGGGTGGCAATTCTTAGTTTTGGAGAAGGATGGCATAACAATCATCATGCGTTTGAGTATTCAGCTCGACATGGATTGGAATGGTGGCAAATCGACGTTGGTTGGTATGTGATAAGGTTTCTTGAAGCTGTAGGGTTAGCGACCAATGTTAAAGTGCCAACGGAAGCTCATAAACTTAAGAAATCGTCTGCTTCTCATCCCAAGTTCAAGTGATTCACTCATTTCACTTTATGTCTCTTCAAATCATAAATGCGTGATAGTACTTCTACATGTGTAACGTGTATGTTTGTTACTGAAATCTCATTAAAGTACGATCCTCGTGATGTACGAATAAATGACAATGTGATGGCTTATTGTTTGACATGCGTTTGAGTATTCTGCTCTATAAGACTTAATTTATAGGACCAAAAATTGAAATGTCATATCTAAAGACATTGTAATAAGTTGATAAGACGCTTTTGGGCATTTTAACAAGTTTTAGAACATTTTTAATACAAAACGTCACGTTAGCAATTTTATATGACACTTTTGAGAAAGCGTCCTATAAAACCTTATTTTCATAAGACGCTTGTTTTTATAGTACATTTTTTCAAATAATGTCATATAAAATTGCTAATAGAACGTTTTGCATTAAAAGTGTCCTAAAAACTTGCTAAGACGTCCAAAATCATCCTATAAACTTATTACAATGCCTTTATATAGGACACTTCATTTTTTGATCCTATAAATTATGATCTATAAAGTAGTCTATTAAGACGCTTAATTTTTTTGACGTCCTATAAACTCAATTTTGTTGTAGTGAGTCGATTAGATCAACGCCCGGATATGGAATATCAAAAAGGTGAAAGTGCCCATCCTTTACAAAAGATGGGAGCAATTAACTTCGTCGGATAAAAAAAGATCGACGATTCTGAAGGTGTTCTGACGAAAATGATTTCTTATTAAAACTCAACTTTGTTATAAATTATATTTATATATTTATCGTATATATTTTGACTTACGTGTAAAAAAATTGTATGAAAAATAGTTAATGTACTTGTATTTATGGAGAAATATATAAATACGATCATTGAAGTTTAAAGACCTGTTATTTGAACATAAAAGACGAACAAGACTAATTGTAGATCACACTATGTGGCACAAAAATATGATATGGAGGATCGTTGCTGATCCGGAAGTCCATGCCATAAAAGTGAGCTTCATCGACGCGTCTTTAACGATGATATGTTTCAATAAGAGGCTATAACGACGATGTGTCGTCTATATAACCTGTTTGTGACGATAAATTGACTTTTAGCAATGATAAAAGTCGTTGCTTAAAACCCGTATTTTTATACTCTTTGCTTGAAGTCATCAGCTAAGTCTTCGAATCCAATATTCAAATCAAGAATGCACAAGTATTTGATGCTATGAAATCAGACCCTAAATTTGAAACCAATTAATATCAACACCAACCTACCTAAATCTCTAAATTTCAATCCCGCAAGTACAATTGCGTATGAATCAACTAATGCAACCAAGGGTTTAACCCAATTTCAAGAAACATACCACACAAAATGTGAGTGATAAAGTGCAACTTTTTTTTTATTAAGTGAATTATTTAGTTATATAAGGAAGAGTTTGAACTAGTGATAGAGCCATTGCAGACGCGTATATTTGGAGGTGGCTCAACGTAATGCCATTCTTTTTTTATCGGCCTCGGTTGCAACCTTAACATCTGTTGCCAATCCAACCATGTGAAGGAACTTGATTAACTCCCATGTCAAGTCAAATTGCCACAATTCCAATCCATGTCGAGCCGATTTTGGAAAAAGCGTGGTGATTATTATGCCAACCCTCTCCCAAGGTTAACATCGCCACCCACCTGCATGTTTTAAATATTCATCGTAGGATTGAATCTAGGTTGATTATCTTTTATTTTATTTTGTCATGAATATGAGCAGCCTATATATATATACACATATAGAGATAGAGAGGGGGCAAGATCAAATGGGAATACGATCAATTTGTGAAAACGAGAGAAATTTCAAAATCACATATTATAGAGTAAAATCACATGTAATATAACATGTTGAACAAGCTGCAGACGACTTGGTGAACACGGCCAAGGGTCACGACGTCACAACATATTTGTATCTCTCTCTCTCACACACACATATATATATGTGGAGGTTCAAACGAGAACCCACTACAACAAAATTGAGCTTACATGATATTCTCAATCTCTAAGCGTTTCAATAGACCGCTTTATAAGACTTAATTTATAGGACCAAAATATAAATCGTTTTCTCTAAAGGTGTTGTAATAAGTTTATACGAAGCTTTTGGACGTCTTAACAATCTTTTTAGGACATTTTTAATACAAAGTGTCGCATTAGTAACTTTATATAACACTTTTGAGAAAATGTACTATAAACTCAATTTTTTATAGGACATTTGTTTTTATAGGACGCTTTCTATTAAAATTGTCCTAAAAACTTACAACGTCAAAAAACGTCATATAATCTTATTACAACGCCTCTAGATAAGACGCTTTATTTTTTTGGTCCTATAAACTAAGTCTTATAAAGAATGTATATTAGGACGCTTAAAAATTGAAAGTATCCTGTAAACCCGATTTTGTTGTAGTGGCTGCAAGTGCAACCGTATGCCAAACAGACGTGTCATGAAGAAACCGATAGAACCACTGCGCCTTTAACTTGGGTACGTTTGAGTATTCTCCACTTCTTGATTCTCCACACTAATTCATTTCATCAATTTCCGAATCAAAGATTACCCACTAATTACAGATGCATATATCATTCTGGTTATATATATCTATATATATATATATATATATTATAGAGATGGTAAAATTAATCACCTTTGCAGTAATAAACTCGTTGTGACAAAACCAACCCATATGACTGAACCAAAGACCGTCCATTGGGGTATGAGGGTCCTTTTCTGTATCAGCATACTTATGATGCTTCTTATGCACGCTAACCCAAAATATTGGATCTCTCTGCATTTGTAAATATGACCAATAAACCATTCGCCAGCAGAAAACACGATTAAATGCTATAAAATGATTCATGGAACCCACCTGGCCACCATGAACACCACAATACACGAAGAAATACTCGAGCCATTTGGGGATCTTGAAACTCCGATGAGTAAGTAGTCTATGATAACCTAGGGTAACACCGAGTCCGGTGAAGATACCCAACACTCACTACTAGAAAACCAGGTATCAGCGACGACTATCAGCGAGGGAAAATTTCCCTCGCAGATCA